GGTTTTGTAAACTAATCTCATTGATATAATATAGTTAACTAAATAATTGCTTCACATAATCCTACTTGTAGTGCAGTCTTGATGTCTACCCTTAGGAGAAATTGATTATAGTGCCTGGCAGTTCTTGTGCATGCACCACTTCTCTAGGGCTCCAAAAAACATTGCTGCTGTTTCTATTTATACATACTTTCCTTGAGGAAAAAATAAGATGCATAGTCACGTAAGGCATTGGGCTACCTTTGGCATATGTGATTATTCCTAGTCTTAATGTGTGGCACAGAGGGCTAGCTTTGGGTTCTTGGCCACAGCCCTGTACTGGGAGAAAGATAACATCGCTTCAGGAGAAGCAAGAAAGATGTCTTGCCAGAGAAGATTTGTCATAGTCTTTCCTGGATCCAGCCATACATCTGGTTCAGAGGAACAAGGGAAAGGCCATATGCAATGGAAAAATATTATCCTTTCACGCATATTTTTTTCCTGCTCCATCTGAAAATGGTGTTATTTTGTACCAGTGTATACCACCAGAACATTTCCCCCAACATGGGACTGACAGTGTGTGTCCTTTGCCAAACCAAACCAAAAGCTGCACCTTGTGGATATTCCTTGTTGGTTAGTCCAAAGAGGTATCAGTTTTAATGAAAATGCTTTGCTTCATTTGTATAAAAAAACAGTATTTCTTGGAGCCCTGGAAAGGTAGTGCAGAAATACTGCTGGGTAGCAGGCTTTTCAATTTCAAAATGCTTTAGGAACATCAGCTGTCATCACCCCAGCAACTCCACGTGTGATGTTATCCGTGATGGCAAGTCTGAATTGAGTTTTAGGCTCTGCAATTATTTGAAACAGATCCTTCCTTATTTCCTGACAGAGTTAGTACTATGACTGCCAAACTTAGTAGACTGCTTCCTTTTGCCTATGTATAATCAAAGCTGACAGCTGCTAAGCGATCAGGATATTTGTGCTGGGCAGACCCTGGCTGATTGCAAGATCCTGACCCAACTCTCACTCCCCTTCCTCAGCAGGACAGGGGAAGAAAATAAGATGTAAAAGCCTGTGGGTTGAGATAAAGATGGGGAGATTGATTACTAATTACTATCAATGGGCAAATCAGACTCAGAATTTCAACTCAGAAGTTCAACTCAGAATTTAGTTTATTGCCATTTAAATATAGAATTGGACAGTGAGAAATTAAGACAAAACGTGAAGCATCACTGTGGGATGGGGAATAGGAGTTGCAGTCAGTCCGTAACAGTGCCTGCCACTCCTTCCTCATGCTTTTCCCTGATCCAGAGTGGGTCCTTCCCATGGACTACAGTCCTTCAGGATAAACCTGCTCCAGGTTGGGCTTTCCATGGGCTGCAGCTCATTCAGGAAATACTTAACTGCTTCAGTGAGGGGGCCTCCACAGGCTGCAGTGTGGGGATTTGCTCTGACATAATCCTCCTTGGGCTGCTGGGGAACAGCCTCCTCCACCATGAGCTGCAGGGAAATTTGCTTTGGCACCTAGAGAAACTCCTCTCCCTCCTTCTTCACTGACCTTGGTGTCTGCAGGATTGCTTCTCTCACTTTTTTTTCCTCACTTCTTATTGCCTGTGCAGCATTTTGCCTTTTCCTAAGTACCTTTTACCCAAAGTGCCACAAGACTCAGCTGCATCCTGTACTGGGTCCATTGGAGTTGGCTGTATCCAGCACAGAGCAGCCCCTGGTCCTCTTATAGAGGCCACCCCTGCAGCCTCCTCGGCTGCCAACACTTTGCCTCCTTCATCCAATGTTTATCATAAAGAGCTAACAAGAATTGAACCTAAGACTTCTAGTGTAGGTTTGAAAGTAGAGCAATGTTTCATTGAGTCTTTTGATAGAGTGAAATACTAGCTAGACTAAAATAATAAAATTGGAAGAAAATGGAAGAAACCTGACCTAGTCAGTTATAATACAGAACAAGTAAATTATTACAATAGTGAAGAGTAAAATAATATAAATATTAAGGGACTACTTATATAAATATAAAGGAATTGAATAAGGAAAAATAAAATCTCCCAAATTTAGTGTGCAGTGCTTGGTATTAACTTTTCTGATAATATGAGTGAAGCTCTCACTCAGCAAAACAGACAAAATAGCTAGGAACCTAATAATAAAACTGAAATTACTCCTGAAAGAAACAAAAGGTGCCTAATGTCCTGAAAAGCAAAAAGAAATTTTATTGCATTGTTTCAGGTGGCAAACCTCCCAGGATCCTCCAACTACTGTAGTACAATAGATTCAAGGTAGAGAAATGGATGAGGTAGGAAAAAGTATTGTATTAGTGAAGAACACCCCTTTTAGCTGAGGTCTCAGTATGGAAATCATCTCTGAAAGAATATAAGATAAAAATAAGACTGATACGAAGCCATCTTTTACTACCTATTTATAGAGGAAGCACTAGTTTGTGACAATGAAAATATAATTGCTGTAAAGTTAAATGTAATGTAGAGTGACTACAACTCATGTAACACTTTGCTTCTACACAAAATATGCGACCTTTAGTAAGCAATGACATAATATATATCTTAAAAAGAAAACAGTGTTTGTGCAAATACATCTAAGTTGTTCTTGACTTTTATAATAAGTAGATACAAAGAGCAGTTTGATTGGGATCAGCCCATATCTTAGAAAGACGATATGCTCTTTTCTTTGTTCCCTCCATTTACCCTGATTTTGCCAACGTTTCTGATCAAATGCCTACACTTGTATGGCCAATCTACCCAACCTGCATGCTGGTCGGCTCAACGGGCTGGAATAACTGGCCAAAACCTGCATGTATTGCCAGCCAGCATGTCTGCATGTACTCCTGGCACCATTTCATCTGTCGCCAGCTTATTCATGCCTGATGTTTGCTTGGCTCTGCTCCCTTTTCTGTCACACTGACCAGCATAGTGCTGCCTGACTAACTGCACCAGTTTTGAACATTGAGAAGCAGTGCATATAGCCAGACACAAAGGGAGAAAAAAGTGAATTCACAATGTATAGGAGTGGTTCTTATCTGGGGAAAAGAAAAAAAAAAAGTGAAATTCTTTATGCTGCCTTTCACTCTTCCCAAATTTCCCTCTTATTCTTTTTCTTCCTACTTTGCACTGTACAGAACGGGCAGCATGTACCCCAAACAGATCTAGTTCTTTCCTTTACCATACACCGACTAGTCCAAATTGGTGAATCTGTCAGAAACAAAGTTCAAAGCAGGCTAAAATATCCCCAGTTGTCATATTTATTCCCTGAGGACTAGCAATACAAGATACTTGTGGGCCTAAGCCCTGTTTGCAAATACACTCATATCACTGTTCAATTCGCTGTCACTGCCTATCTACCGTGCCTGTTTCCAAGTCTGGTGGTATTTGAATTTATTTTTTTTAATTTCAGTATAGGTTACTAAGAAGCAGCAACTCAGTTTGCAGGGTCCCCCTTGGCAAGTTGGCTTGGATAAAAATGACAGCCAGATCTCCTGCTGCCTGCATCTCTGCAAAAACGGTTGTTTGCCATGACTCCAACCAAATGGGTACTTGCTGCTGGCACTGTTAAAGACAGCCTGTATAGAATGTTACTGCATAAACAGTTTTATCCCCTGCTTTCTTGCTGATCTCACTTCCATGCTAGGATATGCTGCAAATTGCTCTTGTGGAAGCCTTGCTCACCTCGACCTCATGTAGCAAAGTAACATGCTGCAGCTGTCTGTGGAAACATGATCTGACAAAGCTGAAGATGGTGGCAGGGGATCATGTCATGGAGAAGGTTCACCATGTGAATGTCTTGCCATATTGCCACTAGCTTTGTGTATGCAGCTTGCAGTAATGTTAAAACATTTGTAAAGGAATGGGTTATAGGGTAATAGGGGTATAAGGTATATATCCTTTTGGAAGGTTGTTCAGCTTTTAGGTGACTGCTTTGGAAAGGACGATATGGATTACTCTGAGTATGGATTACTTCTCAATCTTGATTTGGACTCTGGCTTGGTAGTATAAAATGTTTTGAGACCAGTTTTGCTCTAGTTCAGTATTTGAGCCAAAAGAAGAATAACACAGTTAATTTATGGAATTCCTTTGAGTAGTTTGGCTGGAGAACCTTGTTTTAATCTTTTTTTAATTTTCTTGCAAAACTTTTTTTTCAATTTGTAGCCTATGTCGTTTTAGATGTGGTCTCCAGGAAAATTTCATATGCCCTGCCATACCTGCCATGCCGTATTTCTTTTCCTGGTGACCATTGTTGACCCAGACATATAAATAGGGAGAGCAAGTCTGGATCCTTACCTGAACTTCGGGGGATGCTTGCTCTGACCCCAGATCCTAGGTGAAAGAAAGGTCCTGTGCTATGCAGCCATTCAAATAGCCTGAAGCTTTGTGGACTTGATGCTTGTCTCCTTTCTCTGTATGACTGCCAGGGCCTAAAGTTCTGTTCAGAAAAGACGGCAGTTCAAAAATCTTCAGAGAGGACCATGTCAGAGCAATTTCCCACAATTCAGCCTGTGGAGGCTCCCTCACTGAAGCACTGGGAGTATTTCCTGAATGAACTGCAGCCCATGGAAAGCCCAATCTGGAGCAGGTTATTAGTTACTGAAGAGAATCCAACAGAGACTGTAAATCCTTGACAGATTGGCCTTGAAATCGGGCAAGAAAGCAGGGAGGGCAGAAAGAGAGTATGGACAACAGAAAAGGCAGAAAAAGCTTTAGAAAATAGGAAAAAAATAATCTGTAATAGGTCAAAAAGTGAGATTTAAATTAAAAAAAAAAAAAAAAAGAAGAAGAAAGCATTTATCTGTGATAGAGAATCTTTGCTTTAACAGGGCAAAAAGGAAGTACAGTTGAATATGAAAATGTATGGGTTATTTTCAGATAACAATATTCCCCTGTGGACTTTTTAGAATGGCTTTTAAATTATTGGAGATACAGTGTTAACATACCTAGCAATTAAGGTAAGCATCTAGCTTTTCACGCAAAGAAAAAATTCACAGATTTGAATTGATTTTTATTTTGCAGATCCACAAAGACTCACCCTGGGCCAGTTGTACATTTAAGTGACAGCCCAAGAGATGAGGGAAAAGTGAGTACAACTAATGATAAAAAATATTGCAACATTTCATAGCCTTCATTGACCTTAGTAGCTCTTTCTCTTTTCTTTTTCACTAATTATATTATCTGCTTTCATTATATATTTGTCACTGTTTTCCAGTTTTTAAGAAAAAAAATCTTTGGACAATGTTAATGAGTAAAAATCTGTGATACAGACAACATCCTTTGAAACTTCTAGCCAGTCAAAATTGTTCCTTATTAAATAAATGTGAGTTTTGCTAAAGTAAGAATTGACTAAAAAGTGTGTCAGGACCTTGGTATTTGCAAAAGCATGCTATTATGAAGGCGTTACGGTAAGTTCTCATAAGATAAGTCCCTTCTTATGCAAGAATAATAATGATAGCAACCCCCATTCGGAACTTGCTGCCATTTGTGAGCAGCTGAGAATAGCAAAGAGCTGTCAAGAAGTGAAAGCAAAACTAGTAGTTAGAGCGTTAGGGTTGTGATTGATACCATCAGGAGGCAAAATCTGAGTTGGCTTTATTTCTGTGGTATATTTTCCAAAATGAAGTTTGATTGCCAGAATGCCAGTTTTATCATAACTGTTTCTATTTCTGTGGTGCTACTGTTTGTTTTTTTGTTTTGTTTTGTCTTTTTTTTTTTTTTTTAGCATTTTGCTAAAATGCTAAGCTATTTAACTATTTTATGTTTTTGATCACTTTCACCAGTTGCATTTCAGCGAGTATTTATAAGGGACTGCATTTTACAAATGGTGTATCTATTTAACAGTGTGTCTCACTTAAGAAACTGGTAATAGTTATTGGAAACTAGAAACATTCTGAATTTCTGTTACTGCTTGTAAATACAGTTGCTTATTGCACAGAGGACACTTTGGAGATACCTGGGCATTGATGAACTACTGGCATACTAACAAGGCTCTGGCAACAGCAAAATCAGGTGGATCCCTATTAAAAACAAACATCAGAAGTTTATGGGGAGAAAGAATAAGGAATGCAAGACATATTGAAACCATCCCAGTGCAGCTGTTTATATCATTGATAGATTGAGGGTGGCGTAAAAAACAAATTGGTGCTAACAAATTACTTGCAGATTTACAGAATGTGGAATCGGCAGTTTGATACTTACTGGAAAATATCAGTAAAAGGTACACAGAGACATAAGAGAAGTTTGAAGCACTTAATCAAAAGACAGCTCCAGATGAACAGATACAATATTAGAGAAAAAAATAAACTAAATTTTTCGACTAATTCACATCAAACTTTGGTTGAAAAAATAAAAGGAAAAATCAGACTTTTTTCAGAAAGGGGAAAAGGAAAAAAGAAAAAGAACCCAAACTTCTGGGACTTTTGCTGTTCAACATAGTTATAAACAACCTAGAAAAAAGTATAAGCAGTAATGTGATAAGGTTTGCTGGATCTTAAGGGACTGAGAAACTCAGCAGCAAAATGGCAGGTTAAATAATATCTTTTGCTGAGTATTCTGTGTAAATAGTGGGAAGTGATATGGAAGGAGGAAAATAATATTTCTAACTTTACATATAAAACAATGGGTCTGAGCTGATTATTACTGTTTAGTATCAAGATCGTAGAATGATGATTGATAGTTCAATAAAAATACCAGTTCAGTGCTCAGTAGAGATCAAAAAATCAAATCACAATTAGGCACTATTTGGAGATGAATAGGGGAGAAAAAAAGAAAAACTATTGCATAAATACGTAGTTGACATGCCTGCTGAATACTTAGTATAGCTCATGTCTTCCTATCTCAAATGGAATGTAATCGCACTAGAATAAATTCAGAGAAGGGGCAAAGTTTTCTATATGAGGTGCAACTAAGCCAGACAAGGCAATTAATTGTGGAAAGCAGGCTGATTTTGATCCTGAGTTTGAAAACGCCAGTTGTTGCAAAGAGGGTAGAAAGAGTTCATAGTTTCTTTCAATGCAAACCCTAAAAGGATATTGTCAGAGATCTAGAGACTCTGGGTATCTGGCAATACAAGTACAAGTTAAGACAGTTCAGACAGAAGCTTTATGAATTATGATCATAGTGAGGGAACATTTGGACAGCATCTGCCCCTCTCTGCCCCGTCCTCTGCCAAGTGATTGCAGAGACCCACCTACATACTGTTTCAGAAAAAGAAAAGAAAAAAAAGTGAGGAAAAGCAATCATTCCGATGTTGACAAAGTCAGGTATCCATCCGTGAGAGGGATGGACTCCTTTAAGTAGCTTGTTAGCTGCCTCAATTCTGAGGCAATAAAACAGTGAATATGTGATGATATGCAAATAGCTTTTGGTGAAGGCTATAGGAGACTATAAGAGGATAAACTCAGTATCGTCTTAGCTGAGAAGTGGGGATTTGGAATCACAGCTTTTAGTTGAAACAAACGCTCATTTTGCTAGGAAAAACTTAGCCCAAACTCCCAAATCTTAAATATTAATAATTTTGCCACCACAGTATCAAATGAAGCTGAAAAAAACTGGATTCCAGACAAGCCATTTAAGTGCTTTCTCAAATGTGCAATGGGTAGAAGCTATTCCAAGTAGTGCTGCAGGTGCTAAAAGTGTATGTGGGTCACATGGGGGAACAAGAAAAGTTCACACAAGAGAAATCAATGTGAGGGTTTTGGAAGAGGTTCACTAAATTTTCCTAAGATGTTATTAAAGATTATTTTAACTGGAGTTATGTCTAGTTGAGAAGTTGGCTATCATTGAATCAGGCTGTGAGAATATGTGAGAGTATAAATACTCGCCTTCCTCACACACTGCTCTTTGATATTTCCATTTGGCTATTTAAGTACAAGACCTACCTGTTGTGATAAGTAGACCTCTTGCTTAATTCAGTAGAGCTGTTCTTAAGAAACAGGTAATAGAGCTGTTGTGAGATTCACTTATCTTGTTTAGCTCCTCAGCTTCAAGTAGACCAAAGACCAGTGAAAGGTGTTGGTAGAAGAATGCACGCTGCCCAAATCACTTTGTGAGTTGGCAGCAGATACAAGTATTCTTAACACATGCTTCAGAAATTAAAAAGTGGGTAACACTTTAGTCATAATCATTGCTGGAAATACGGATATTCTTGTACTCCACAGATTACAGTTCTGGGCTTATTTCCCTGAAGTAAACAAGTAGCATTCCCCTATGGGATTGATGCACTCAGTTTTTGAGAGCCCCAAAACACGGACAATTTTTTCCAAAGCTAGGACAATCATTTATTTCTTTTTGAAAGCCAGGGGAATTTGTGTGCCAGCTGTATATTCATTAAAAATAAATAAATAAATAAATAAATCCTAAAAGTTCAGTAGTTGATGACCAGTTTTTCTGTGCCAAAAGAGTGAGTGTAATTCCAGAAGACTTCTGCCATTCAAATTTTTTCCAGAGTGTCCTCCAGGCAAACTACCAAGGCAGATTTTGGAGACAGTCTCTGTCCCAAATCTAGCAAGCAGTGGTTGGAAGACGACAGAGAATTTGGGCATTAGTGTGCTACTTAAGAGCAATTTGGGGACCTAGTGATTAACTTCATGAACTGTGTCTGCCAAATCAGTGAGTAAGTGTACATTAGGAACAGGCTGAAGTACACAGACATTTGTAAGTGGCAGAAATGTAGCAAACAGGATTTTTCTTGCTGACACAGAAGAAGATATTAACTAAAATGATCTGCAGTTTCCCAGCAACTAGAGAAAGTTTAATAGGAAAAAGTTTAATGTTATTAACTATTAGCTGGTGGAATAAAGTTCCTATCTCTGAGTCTGTGTTCTGAGATCTAATAACACCTAAATATAGTGTGCATTTGGCAGGCTTTCTTTTTTCTCCCCATGGCTGTTTTGTGCTACCAGGGGGCTGGCTGGCATGTACCAAGATGCAAGATGCTGATTGTAAAGGAGAAATTTCCCTTAAACATCATCATCAAAAACATTTCAGGAATAAGGATTTATTTAGTCAGAATGTGGAGCAACTCCACTGGACAAGGAAGGTTGTGCCAGGATTCCTCCATATTTTAAATTCTATGCAGCCTTCTTTATGATTCTTAATCATATTAAACATGATAAACGAGGTGTCAGAAACACAATTGGGATTATTATTTTTTTTTCCCCTGGACTCCTTTTATACATATTTATTTTTCTTGTTTGTCTGTTTTCTCCTCCAACTGCATTTATGGGTGTTTTATTTTTCACCATATCGACTAGTACAGACATAGAGCTTGTCTTACAGAGCTCTTACAATAGCCAAGAGGAGTGAGAACATTTGAGTTTTCTATGGTTCAGGCAGGTTAGAGTTCAGAGCATCATGAATATACTGGCAATGAGACCAATCACGTTCACCCTGATGGAATTCTGACTTTGTCATACCACAGGACTATTAGTTAAGCAGCATGGCTACCATCTGAGCAAATGAGAAAGAGATTCCTGGCTATGCAGCAGATCTGTTCATTTTTTAACTTCTTCCCTGAAATAACAGTATTTTTTATCTTGCAGTCCTATAGTGCCCTTGTGCATTAAGCATTTCAGCAACAGATCAGGTGGAAGTCTGTCCCTGACAGGAGGTATTTAACCTTTTTAGTAATTACCTGGAGTACAATATCGTTGCAAAAAGAATGATACAAATCAAAAGGCAAGCCTGCTGCACTTGGGAAAAAAGCTTATTATGAAACAGGGTCACATACTAAATGCTTTTCTATTCATTTCCCGATTATATTTGTATGAAAACTGAGATGGAAAGAATACAGGTAGATACAAACCAAACCCATCTGGTTTGGTACCCAGCTGTAATGCGCTAGTGAAGACAGTAAGAAAAGCACTCAGACTCTGTAAGATATCCATTATCTACATTTTATTGGATTTAATATAAAAAGGAAAAAGATAAGATAGATAATCTTATGTTCCTGAGATGATGGGAGCTGCAAGTTGTACAGCATCAGATGGCCTCCAATAAGTACACAACACACTGCTGATCCCATCTGTGAAGAAGTTTGCCAGTATTTTGGTCTTTAGAGCTCTTAGAAGATTTACTTACAGATGTATATAAATATGTAGATATATTTTTATTTTTTTTTCAATTCTACTGTCAAGCAAAAGGCTGTTCAAATGAGAACATACTGGTTTACATTATCATAAAGACAAGGACACAAGGGTACTGCAATTACCATTACTAAGTGGGAGCTGCTTACAGGTTTCTCCTTTACAATTACCCGGCTAAGTTTATCTTGCAGTCAAAGAATATGTGGAGCACACCATATCACAGCACAGGCCTGCACATACACAGGTTAGCTGTTATGTGGGTCACTAACTCCTGGATATACAGTCATCTCTGTTTAGGATCACTCCACAAGCAGCAAAAGAAGTTGCAGTAAGGCACTTTGTACACTTCCCCAGTGGCGATCTACCATGTCAGAATACCATATGGCATCCCGACACTGGTGCTATCCAGTTAGCTGTATGCTTTCAGAAAGGAATGTTGTTTTACATTTAGTCTGCTACAGAATCCCATATGGACCTGTCCAGAGACAAAAATGTTAAACGTTCTGGAATTTCTCCAAGATAGTTCGAATATTGTTCAGGAGTAAAATTCTTAAATAATCAAACACTGTTCCTATTCAGGTATTAAATATATTAACTGTAAGTCATTGCCAGATCATGTAATTCATCTCCACATAAAGAATACTCTCCTGGCAATACAGAGAATCATATCTTGTATGATTGACAGACTAGAGTGTTCCTAGACTCTGTATGCAGCAGTATTGATGCATTGATGATATTTGACTTAGAAAAAAAATGATGTTTTGTTTAAAAGTCCAGCAGTTTTATTTTTAATGACATGCAAACTAAAGTGAGTGATAGCAAAGATTGTGGTAAGATTTCACAGACTAAAAGATAGCCTTGTAATTCTTCCACTCAGATTCTAAATAACTGTAAATTCTTGCCTGCAATCTGTGCTCCATGTATTTATGGACAAAGAACAATTGCAATTATCACTGCCAGATGTATAAAAATAGTCTAAAACCAAAATATGTGAGTCTGCCATTATGGTCGTTCCCAGTCTTCACGTCCAAAGACAGATTCTTAGGAAAACAGACTCTCTGGGAGGAAATTTGCAGAATGCCTAAGGAGGCCAGACATCATATCTTCCATAAGATCTGGAGTGCACTGTATTCAAATGAAGGGTACTCGCTATAGTGACAGATGAATAATTTAGTTCTTTTCAATAGAAATAAAGAGAACACATTGTGTTCATTCTTATTTTTTTTTCCTGAGCATTTTTTTCTCCTCTTTAATCTTTTGACAAGTCTTACTTTGTATGTCTCAGGTGTGCATGATTTTATGATATACTAATTCTAGAAGAAGTAAAAAATAGCATACTGGTTAGTTTATTTTCAATTTTGTAGAAAAGTAAGTAATTTATTTTCTGCAACAGGAGTTCTTCAAAATGTTTTAAAGAAATAGAAGGCAGGAGTTAAAGAAATATATCTAGCTGAGTGAGAGTTTAATCTGGTGATTCTTTGGTTTTACATTATTTAAGTAATCTCTTGGGTGTCAAACTGTTTTCCCTTCAACCTAGGGACAAGGAAAATAAGAGCAGAGAGGAACATGGTATATTTGTATTTTTTTCAACAGGTATAAAATTGTGAAGACTATCCACATACATATTCTTGCAGGAAAAAAAAAAAAAAAAAAAAAAAGTATAAAGCATGTTTTATTTCCATATCAGAACTTGCATTGTCAGTCATGACTAAACTACAGTCTTGCACATCCACTTGGCATTTTCTTTTTATAGTGCTTATATATTTTGAAAAAGAAAATCTTAAAACTCTGAAGTTCTTCAATATCTGTATATGCCTTTTTTATCTGAAAGTATAATTGTGTTTGTTTCCCTCCCCCAGCTATTGATAGGCTATGAAAATGGGACTGTAGTACTCTGGGACTTACGGTCTAAAAGAGCTGATCTAAGAGCTTATTATGATGAGGTAAGCAATTTCCATTAATTCGGAAAAACTGTTATTCAGCAGTTTGTCATATGTCTTATCAAGCAAATGGATATTTATCTTAAAGTACTGCTTGTTCTGGTAATACTGTTTGTGCTCTGCTTTTGAGCAACTTATTGACAACAGAAATCAAAACCTGAGATCTCTAGTTGTACTGCAATAGCCTCTTTTGAGTGTACTACAACAGAATCTCTTCATCTTGATTCTGACAAGTTCATGTGCTTCTGTGTGGGGTTCCCCAGTTGAATAGAGTATAGCAATGAGCTGACCTGAAATACAGCTACATGAGGAATTTTATTATTATCTTTACTGAGTATTACTAGAATATCAGCATGAAAGCCAAATTACTTTGTAGGTCTATTCATATTACCCAGTATTCAAGAGCCGTGTAAAAATTTTTCAGAATTGTATGGTTACTTCTATCAGAATATTGACTCTTGCTGTTTGTAAGCAAATTGTATCAAACACACATACAGTTCTTGTATCAATAAACATGTTATTTCAAAAATAAATATGTTCTTATTATGAGTTTTGTGCTGCCCTTAGAGAAAAACTTGCTTTGTTCTACCAACCCTTCTGTAAGTTCGCCAGGGATGAGTATGCAACTAAAACTGAAGGTAGCAAAGGAAATTTTGTTTTAAGTTATCCAGGCAGTAATTGGTTTCTTGTAGCTCTTTTTCGTTGTTTTTGTTGTGACAGTCAAGTTGTGACAGACAAGTGACAGTCTGCCTGTGCATACATTTGTGAAAATGCACCTATTCTATTCCTTGAGATTGGACCACTTTATATGGGTCTCTTAAGGGGGTGCCTGTTCATTCACTGTCTTCTCTTGTTCTCAGGAAGAGAATACATAAAAGATCTTCATAATACCATTTCCGTTCTTTTTAATTGCTTGTTGAGACAGAGTGGTTGGGTGTTGAATATTTCTTGTGGTTTAATTGTTCCACATTTTTCAGTACTGTCCTCAGGAATTGTCTTTGTGTTGTTCTGTTTGTTTTCTTTAGTCATTTGCTTTCCTCCTCAGTGGTTACTTGCTGTGTCATTACTCCACTTTGTTCAGTTTAGGATGGCTTGCTACTGTGTACTGACGTACTTTTAAGTTTTTTCTGCTGTCTATAAAAGGGCTGTGTGAACTAGCTACTGTAGTTTATTCCAGACTTTCAGGCTCCAGATTGGTAATGTTCCAGATCTGCTAGTATTCCTCTAGGAAATCCCTAGAAAGTTTCTTTTTAAATCCTGAGTTATATAGCTTTTATGAGTCACAAATGGTTAGTTCAGCATGTGTCACTTGGTATTTGGCACCAAAACAAAAGCTTTCAAACCCGAGCCTCTTCTTACAGAATGGTCACCTAAGATCAGAGTCCAGAAAACATTGTTTCTGCTCCCCTTCACCATTCTGTGTGGACTGATGGAAGTGCTCTGTGCCCCATGATATCTGACCAATCTACTTGAATTGTTGTTCTGGCCAGCCAATTGCAATTTCACGGTATCTGAGGTTTCACATAAAGTGCTGTAATTGTTCTGTACCTTCCTTGAATATCAAAATGCCTCTCTGAATAGGGTATGAATGAAATTAAGCCAGACAATTTTTTCTTATACCATTATATTTTCTTTAGCACCAGTTTTGAAACTGATGTAGTCACCGTATTAAATGGTGAAAGAACTGGGAATCTCATCTAACTCACCACTTGCTCTTCTGGCATCTCTAAGGACAGTCAGATGTCAGTGTCTTTATTTGGCCTATCAGTGGAGCAGGTTCTTCTGTTCAGTATCCAAAATTTTCCTGGCACCAGGCTCCTCCAAGGAAGAGGCACTTGGAGCATAGAGTGAGAAGCAGGTTATTTTCTTGTCTTTGATGCATCGTGAGTGTTCATCACCAAGGCCAGTTTTTTCTTCTCTGTAATCTTCTTCAGATAGGTATCCAGCTTGGTAATGTCACTCAACATTAAGCACAGGGTAAGCACCCTCAGGACTCCATCTAGATACTCATCCTTCCACAGGATCAAGCCTCAGCTGGTTTTCTCCTCAGTAGGGTTGGATTCCTGTCTCCTCAGACGTGTTGAGAAGCAGGCTCTCTGTTGTTATTCAGATCTGTGGAACCAGTCACTGTGCAGCACAGGAGCAATAAGTTAATGGCAGATATTTTTTATACTGTAGGGGAAAGGAGGCTTGTAACTGATTGTGTACCTATGAATCTAAGTTGTTGTGTTTTTTTGTTTTTTTTTTTAAGTTCAAGATGAGAACTATATCTGCTGTAATTCAGTTGTCATAGAGAGGGATAGTCTCCTATGTCATGACTTTAAAGATGTTTAGTATAGCTACAGGAAATGCTTCCATGTGATTGTCATTGAGAAATGTTATTAAAAGGTCTCTTCCATTCAATATTTTTTCACTATGTTGAATGCTGTTTTTTTAATTGAGTAGTGGACACTCAGCTCAGATGGAACAGGTCCTTTTTCTTTAACATTCTCATTTGAACAGTTGGCTAACAAAAGGTTCATCAAGAGACATTGGTTCTTATTCCACTAGGACATCACCACTGTGCAATCTTGCCTGTCCTTTCTAGGCTGCATGGTATTGTCATACCAGTGTGGTGCTTCACATCACATGAGTCTTGCAGACCTGGATACATGACATATTGCAGACATCTCCTCAGACTATGGGCAATCTTATGACTGTGCAATTAGTTGTTTCCTACAATATTAGCAGGATCTGCCCAATACTTGCAGAAATATGTCCTTTCATTTTCCTTGCCATCCAGATCAATGTCATGGGTACATTGTTCCTAGAATAAACAGCTCATTTAGATAACCCAGTAGCCTGTAAGTGGGGGACCTGAGGACTCTGCCCATTGTTAACAGACTTGTAAATGAAGCATTTACAGCTGCATTCCCTACCCTTTTTTAGTCACGCTATACTTACTGTCGTGAAGGCTGGAAACCTTTCATACATAAAATGTCTGCTTCTTCCAAGTGATGGAAGTTCTCACCAAGGATCAGAAAGGCTGTATAAATTGCATTATCTGGAACTCCTCTACTGGGTGTTCTTATAAGCCTGTATTTTCCCTTTCAAGCTTCTCCCTGGTACTCATGTTTTACTCACTGGAGCTAAAATTAGTCCTGTCTCTCTTTTAGCACTACTAAAGAACAAGTTAGAAGCTGCCTCAGCCCATCAACTCCTTATACAAGGAGTTTCAGTGTGCTCTTCTCTACTGTGACAAAGCTTCTCAAGAGACTAAAATGTTCTCACTTGTGAGACACTTGGTGCCAGAGTGGAGCTTAAACCTGCTGCTTAGACCCTTTGTCTGCTCTTTGAGTTGTCAGATGCAAGTTTGTGTTTTGGTGTGATGATGACTGTCATCTTGCCAGTGGTGATCATCTCTCTTGAGTATGAGATATTCGGGCCCTTTCAATCAATGATCCTACATGATGCCCTCTATAAAAGGCTCCTATTTCAAACTATTTCCTAAAGCCCTTAAATTTTATGTCCATAGAACGGTATAAAAAGAAAGTACATAAACAAATGAGATACTTCAAGGTATCTGCAAGTTATTACTGATAGTTGGCAGACCCCCAAAAACCAACCATCTTCTTATGCAGGCTTTATAAGTTTGACAGGTTGTGTCAAATCATATTCAGAGCTTTCTATAGCATAGACACCATCTCTCATTAGAACACATCTCCCAAAGGAAGCTGCAGAGTTCTCAGAGATATTTGACAAGCGACATCTCCCTACCTTTATCAAGCACTATGCCATTATGGAAGCATCAAATCTGATGCAGCCCTTGCTGTAATGGTCCTGTAGTTCTACTAATACAGAGGATTCTTAAGACTTAAGTGATAGGATGAGATTAGTATTGTGTTTGTTCAAAATATGGTTAAAAGTGGTTTTAGAGTACCCATCATTTCTTCTCAGTGGAGTGATTTTTGTGCTCAGGAGTGAACTGAAATGGTGTTGGGCATGCTTAATTTTAGTACATGCTGAGTATGAGAGAAGATGGAGTATGCATGCAACCACTGTTGGTATTGCAGGAGAAACATACCCAATCTGGAGTGATATGCTTTATGTGTACACACTGTGTGAACATTCACATGAATCACCCACTCTGATGAACTCTTGTTCAAAGTAAATAACTGCTCGTTTTTTGTGAGGATGCTGAAGAAGTGGATCAGAATACTAGACACATTCTAGCAGAGAGAAAATTAGGGACACTTACTCATTGCCATCATTCAGTGTTATTCATGACTCCTAGCTGAGACCTCCAAAACAAATCCTAAGTATTTCTTGATCATTTCAGGGCAGTCTATCAGGTGAGTTTGAGTTGCTGCTATGCCAGCTGTCTGTGACTATAGGAGCATTCCTGCTCAGCTCCACTCAACAGGAGGCTTATGTTGGCAGGTGGCACCTAGCAGCTGAGAGGCAGTTTAACAGGCAGCAAATTTCAGCTGCTAGTTACTAGCTCCTGCTCAAGCACAGTTAGCGACTGTAACCATGCGAAATGTTTCTATGTGTGATAACACATCAAAAGCAGATTTGAATTTGGCATGATAGCAAGCATGAATAAGCTCATGTCAGAATTAATTTGCATGAGGAGAGAAATGCAGTAGTTCCCACAGATCTAGGGTTCTTATTAACCGAGGGCAATGTCGTTGGCCTGTATGTGAGCCATCTTTCTGTGTTATCTTTTGTTGCTTAAGTTGTAGTTTGATATCTTATGGGTATTTGAGAGGAATTTTCTGACAACTCTACTCTGGTAGGTGGAAGTTTGAATGACACCCATTATGTCACTTGAAGGTAAGTATCTAGAGTTCACAATGTTTCTGCCCAGTTTTTTGAGTCTTTATTGGCTTGTCTAGCTTACCAGTGTGCTAGCTAACTATTCATATACAAAGCAAGTCAGATTCCTCCTGGGGCATTCCTCCTCCATCTGGGACATCTTAATGCAAATCCTGGTTTGTGGCTATGTTGTCCAGCCTCAGAAGCTGAGTAAAAGTTCTGGGAAGGAGACACAGCTTTTTTTTTTTTTTTTTTTTTTCTTCCCTGAAATTCCCTTCAGACCCTGAGCCATTACCAACCATAAAGATCAATATACTTGTTAAAAGAGGAAGACCAACAAGGAGTCTTGAAGAGTGACCATCACCACTTAATTTCTGATCAACTTAGGCAAAATTGATATGAACAACTCCAATGCTGACTAAATACCTAGACATAATTTTAAAGTGATTTGAATAAACAAGGTTAAAAAAAAGAAGACACACACACATGCAACTGTAAGCATTGTAAGCATAATGTAAGCAAAATGGAAGCATAACTGTCTTTTATTTACATTTACATATAAGTATATTGCATTTTTTGCTATTCGGCAGCTAACAAGGGGAATAAAATCAAGTGAAAATTCAGGGAATTTCTGCTTCTGAGGGAAGTGTGTGAGAAGCTGTGGTAATCAAAGAAGCAATACTTTGTTTTGTCAGAAAATGTCTTTTGTCAGTTTCTAGGATGCACCAAAAAAAAATTGAGGACTTGCACTGTTATCCTTCCAGCTTGTTTGATGTAATTATGGATAATGTCATTATTTATTTTACATGCCTAATTCGTCTTTGAACTTCTTGATATCTTGTGCTAGTCAGTTCCACTAGTTATTAGTGAATTAGTGAGAATGTTTTGTTAATTTTCTAAGTGTTCCTTTTTGGCGTACCTAACGTTCATTATACGTTACTTGCATTGTGCGTATAGGAGTATGACATTACTTTTCTCTGAATCACTATCTGTTCCCAAATTATCTTACATCACTGTTTTTGTTTTTTCCTATGTCAATGAAACAATCCTAGTCTTTTATTTTATTTTGTATTTAAATTAAGCATCACAGGTTTCTGTGTACTTTCTCTGAAACTTAAGTATGTGGAGGAAAAACAATTCAAGAATAGAGTACTATTTCTACTTTTCCAAAGAAGTCTGCTGGGAAAGCTTGTGTATGTTGTATGTTACCTGTAAAAACTGTTGCATAGCATTCTCCGTACATTTGACAAATGAAATACTTCTAAGAGCTATCAGACATATTATGATTGCACTGTATATTGTTCATATACTTCTTGCTTAACACTGTTTCCTCAATTTTAGTCTGACACAGTAGAGTTTCGTACATTCTTCTGTCCTTTTAGCATTTATAATGGATTGTTTTTGCTTGATTTGCAATAGATTACAGCCATTGGTTTCTAAAGTGTTGGTAATGGACTCGACAAACAAAATCAATCCCACTGTTGATACACGGTTAGATTAATATAATCCAAAGTCATACATCAAAATATCATTAGCGTAGACAGTGTATTCCTTTCCAGTCTCAAGTTCTTCATTCACTTCTCCAGGCTATTCATTCCGTTGCTTGGCACCATGAAGGGAAACAGTTCATGTGCAGTCACTCAGATGGAAGCTTGACCCTGTGGAACCTGAAAAGTCCCAACAGACCATTCCAGACCACAATCCCACATGGTAATTTTGATAGTAAAAAAGTAAAACAAAGAAACAGTACAATGTTCTCCATGTTGTTTGCTAATGTCTTTGTTTATTCTTGAAAACAAGCATAGATTCCCCAAAGTAATAAAAGCAAAATTGGTTTGGTTTCGTTGTTGTTGTTTTGGGTGTGTTTGTTTGTTTGTTTAGTTTACAAGCAACTTTTCTTTGACTGGAAGAAAATACTGAGCCAGAATTAACCATGATCCCATGAATTTAAATGTACACTTCATTTAATTTTATCCTTCAACTAGTTACATGACAAAGCATGTAACAGTTTGTCAACAAAAGGAATTGAGTCAACCTAAATATGAGTTAGGAAAAAATCAACCTGTTTATAGTCATTCTGTGATCAGAAAAGGTATACAGTTGGTGAAGTTCAATAATTATTAACTGTGTCATCCTCTTCAGTAATCTGCATAACTTTTATATGTTTTTGAAGGGTAGTCTCTAGTCCTTTAATGTATGTGGCAGTAAAAACTTAAAGCCATAATAAATGTAATTAATTTAAATAAACTCATGTATTAGGGAAATAGGTATTAACACTCATCATCTCCTGTAGCTTTCGAGTTCCATTCTCTTGCTGATTATACAGTTGCTACCAAGTGTATATTTTATTTTGGTAGCATGATAATTTTATTATCATGATGTTTTAATACAGTTTTCACTCTCTTTATTTCCTTAGGAAAAATTCAAAGAGATGGTAAAAAACCCGAATCCTGTAAACCAATTCTTAAAGTAGAGTACAAGACCTGTAAAAACAGGTATGTTTATAATTCTGTACTTAATTCAATGTTACATTCCTGAGTTAATAAACTGCTTTCAGAATCTTCCCCTTTTTCTTTTTGCAAAGATATTTTTTAAAGACACTAAACCTATACTGTAAACTTCTATGTGTGTAAACTTACGGTTGCTATGTTTTTATATTTGATATAGTGAACCGTTTGTGATATTTTCTGGTGGATTGTCATATGATAAGGCTTGTCGAAGACCAAGTCTAACAATTATGCATGGAAAAGCAATTACAGTTCTTGAAATGGATCACCCTATAGTTGATTTTTTAACTCTCTGTGAAACCCCATATCCAAATGGTGAGTACAGTAAGCAAAACATATTTACAGAAAATACAAATGAAGCAATCTTCTCTCATTTCTTAATTCCCATCCAGGAACTTCTGTTCTCACAGTTGTCTCCATCTCAAAAAATAAAAATAAAAAATCACTGAAAGTAACTGTAACTTGTTTGCATTCTCAATATAGAAAACAAGTAATCAGTTGACAATAAAGTATGCATAAATCTCCAGATACAAGTTTGAAACACATGGACTAGTGTGAGGAAATATTGCTCTTAATCAAACATATGTGCGTATATATTTTAAAGTGTTTTACTGCATATTGTGGGACTGCCAAATGCTGAAGTAAATTCACAGAAAACTCCAGAAAGTAACATTAGAAAAGCTGTAAGTAAAAAAGAAACTAAATTTAGCTTTTTAATCCCCCAGTGAGTGAAGTAAAATAAATCTTCTATACATAGCTAAATCAACTGCACATTAAAAACAATGGCCTATGTTTCAATGTCATGGAATAAATTTAATTTTCAGTAGCCTAAGTTAGTATGGCATTTCATTTACCTGTGGCAAATAAAGTGACGCTTTCCAGTATTAACATTTTGTAGGCCCTCCCCCTGATCACACACTATTATTTAAATATTTTGGTTTGACCTGTTACTTACAGCCTGGTGTAACAACAGAAAGCCAAACACCATGCATTCATAGCTGGCCTGAAAGGAGACTAAGTTGCTGTCTGTTTACTAAGTGTTTTGGCATGAGTTATCTCCAGAGTGTACTCTGAGCTTGTACATATTGGAATGGCTTGCTGCAGTTGAAATTGCAGTTTTAATTTCATATTTATATTTTTTAATACTTTTTTCACTATGTAAATTAATAAATGCAGAGACAAACTATATGTTCTTCTAAAGAGTGTACAGAAGGAAGGAACTTTTCAGTATCTGAACTGAACACAGCAGACTTACAGGAGTATTATGAGAATTATGTGGCTGGATGTAAGCTTTTGTTATGAAAAGTATTTCCTAGGGGGAAAAATCTTTAATAATTATATATAATAAATTATAAATATTTCTCTAATTGCACTCTCGATCACAAATTTTCCAGTGACCAACTGTAACTCATCTGTATTAAAGAATAAAAAATCACACATATATGTAACTTACTTGATTAGAATGACTAATGGAAAAACTCCAGGTCTTTCATATTTTATTCTTCTCTCACAGAATTTCAAGAACCCTATGCTGTAGTTGTGCTTTTGGAAAAAGATCTCATTGTTGTTGACCTGACACAAAGCAAGTAAGTGTGAAGTCTTGTATCAAGTTATTTATACTTCTTAACTGTCTAGCAGATGATAAAAATCCAAATGATATCACGCAATGTCATTTTACTATCCAAAATCATTAACTCTTGGTGTTAATTCACTGTATATGTTTACCTTCACCTAAAAAACTAGGATCAGCTAATTGACAGAAGCTTGATTTCAATTTTGGGAATAAATCTAAGCCTGTAACATTCATGTTACATTGATGTTAAGTGATTCTTGGTCACCTGCTGAATCATGACCTGAACTTGTGTGTTAGAAACTAGATTCAACCAGTACTTATATGCACACCTAACTTCACTAGATTCCATGGGGGCTACCACTTAGATGCTTACTCAAGTATCTTAATAAATAATGGCATTATAGTGGATCTATGGGATTCTTTCATAATCCATTTTTTGTTTTAAATGACAAATAATTCTTTCACATTGGAATCAAAGTTAATACCAGAGAGTAACTATATATCGTGAAATGTAGGATCCAATACTTATTTCCTTTGCTGTGCATCCAACACTAACAGTTATGTATGTCCACATTTACACTGGTATAACTAACAACAGAATTTATCTTTAATGATTTGAAACATTTTAAATGAATCATATTCTGATATCATTCACTTTCAAGCTTAATTCCAATCATCTCAGCAATAGAAAATGGATGTAAGTGGAATCAGAGCAAAATTTCTTGCATTTTTGAATTGTGAATAACATTGTGTAATCTGCCAGAAGTGAGGCCTGCCTTCTTATTAGACAGTCCAAACTGATGCAAGTGAGAAATAAACTGAGATCTAATTCATCTGTTATTTCAATTGTTCACTGTAGAATCAGTAGTTTACCAACCCAATAAGCAAAACTGTTCAACATAAAATCCACAATTGTAAAGGTAGTTCTTAGGTCATAGTATACATGCATATTATATGTGTGAACCTGATGCTTCTAGAAAATGTATAACCTCTGTAAACTCATAAATAGGATTTTGAGGTGTTGGGAAATTTTACATTAAAAAAAAAAAAAAAAGAATTCTTGTCACAATACAAGAATTTTTATATCTTTACTAGTTATTTTTGACACTAAAACAATACATATCTTTAAAAAAAATAAGGGAAAATGTACTTTATCAGTAATGATTTTACTTAGATTGTTATACACTGTAAAATAACAATATGTCTTCTTATATGGTTTAGTGTATCACAGTGCTTCTAATAAATTGTCTTCCTTGACTAGTTTTCCAATCTTTGAAAATCCATATCCTATTGACATTCATGAGTCACCTGTCACCTGCACAGAATATTTTGCCGACTGTCCTCCAGATTTGATTCCTGTACTCTATTCTGTAGGAGCAAAACATAAAAAGCAAGGATACAGCAATAAGGTAAACAAAACTGATATATTTAAATAAAGAAAGCAGATATACAATCTATGTCTTTGAAATATCTTGCCAAATTATTTTAATTTTACTTCTTTAATAACTAATTTCAAATTGTCCAGCCAGCAGCTTAGAGGCAGCCTTCCTTCTGTGGTTGCTTAAATCACCATTATACAGGACTAAGGCTGATGGAGTTATGTCAGATCAGATTAAGTTAAAAGAATGCCATGACTTTAAAATTCAAATTTGTCTGAATATGTTATCTCTATCAAAGAAAGAAATAGTATATAAAATGAGTATAATGGAAAGCAGAAAAGCTTCAGTGGAATTTAAGGGTTGACAGCATTTTTATTAAATAAGGATATTAATTATTATTTTACTGAACTACTAAAGTCTTAGTGAAAGAGTCTTAGAAATTCTACAAGCTGCAGAAATAAAAATGGAAAATGGAATTACTTTATAAGTTTCAAGCATTAATCTGGTTTATGTTTTGATTAGAAATCATAATAAACAAATTAGAAAAAATATTGGGCAAACTAGTCAGACATCATTAGTTTTCTGTTCATATTAAAAGAAATACTTTCCTTGGAGCTGTCTTGTTTTCCATGAACCGAGAATCTGGGCCCTATATACTTCTTTGGGGTCTTGATTCAGCAAAGTACTTTAGAAAATATGTTTTTTCTTTCTTTGTCTTTTTATCTATCCTTATTTCATATACATAGCTTCCTGTACATTGCACCTGTACTCCTTGTACAACCTCTTGTCCAACTTGCTTTACTTGTGCATGTGCAAATACACACTCAGAATGTAGATAGCCAAACATTTGCCACCCACACATTTCTGTACCCACATGCATCCAGTCCATGTATTCTCAGAACCAGTTTGTATGCCCAGATTTTTCTACCCAGTCATACTCTGCACAAATCCTTACCCACTCTGCCCCTATGTCATCTGCCACATCCTGTATCCATATGTATCAAGTTTTCGGCACAGACCACCATCTTGCTTTACCAGCCTAGACCACAGAAGAGAGTGAGAATCTCGCCACTAGTAAACAAAACCAGAAAAGAGATGATGATTTCTTACGATCTGTGGAAGATGCATTCTCGTCTCATATCCCATATCATGATGCTCAGATACTTGTTTCCCACTTTTCTGGGCCAGCTTCTTCAGTAGTCTCCATCCTCAGAATAGATTCTCATTTCTATTCAGTATCCTATAGAAGCTCCAAGAGTCAAGAAATGTGAAAACAGTAGCAGAACTTTGTTACACCTTCCTCTGGTTCCTGTTTTGAATGTTTGCAGTGTTAGCTGTGCAGAAATCTTGGAACTTTGGTTGTTAACATAAAAGTCAGTTTCATAATCTGTGCCAAAATGTTTTTTAAAAAAAGAAAGAAAGAAATTCGAAGTCTTGATAAATATACAAAAATATTAAGAAGCTTTAAAAGCCTTGAATACTATGCATTTTCATTCCTTTTATAAGATGTATTGCTTTCTGCAAGAAGAAGTCTGCTCTTGAGTTTAAAAATCAACCAAGCAAAATTCATCAGGATTAGTTTTAAACTCTATGCTCTTGTTGTTCGTTTAGGAGTGGCCTATCAGTGGTGGAGCATGGAACCTTGGAGCTCAGACATATCCTGAAATCATTATTACAGGGTGAGAATGAAACTGAGGATTTGTTCTTTTAAATTGTTAGTGTCTAGAACGTTTAGTTGTGGGTTACCTATAAGTAAGCCTTGACCCTTGACAGGGTATATGTGTCCTAACTTCTTCAGTTGAAGTACATGGTTTTTCTTCTTGGTGCAAAGTCACCATAGAAATTCCCATTTGCTGTAGAAAACAGAGCTTTGTATTCAAGGATGAACTACTGTTAAGAATTACTGATTAAGGCCCCAGTTTTAGAAATTAAGTCTGTATATTTGTTAAGATGGAATCTTAGGAAAGGGGGATCCTTTGCAACAGAATTTTGTGGTTTTGAGGGCCATAGAGCAAAGCATTAAAAAGGGAGCCAGCTGTTCTATGCCTGTTGTCCTCTGGCCTTCTGGTGACTGTCTGGGAATTGGTTTCGGAATTCATTTTAATACCACAGGATTAGTGGGGATGTGGTGCACTGGGATGAATTTCACCTTTTAAGTGAGGAATCATACCCATGAAAGGTTCAGATTGAAGTAGCATCCCCATTGAGCAAATGTCTGATGTATTTTCAAGAAAACACCCTGAAAAGTACTAACTCAGCCTTCTTGTAAGATGCATTCTGTGTTTTTTCTTCTGGTCTCAGCCATGCTGATGATAGCAATGCATTCGATAAATTGTTATAATCGATGATAGTCAAAAGCTGTCTTTTCAAAGATAAAATTATATGTGCAATAGTACTAATAAGGAGGATAAGAGATTATTCTAATTTTAAACAGAAGTGTCTCCTTTCTCCGACTCTACTTCAAGGAGGATTTTCTGCTGATAAAAACAATGCAGCTGTAAGGTATTAAGCAGAATTATCTTGCCCTCTGTCTTTTCGAAGTTAGATATACATGCAGTTTTTAGAGTGCATAGGCCTGATGCTGGCCCACTGCAAGGCCCAAAGTGCTGAATCTTAACCTTGGCATTAGTATGGGAATTAATTTTGTGCTGTTATGATCTTAAAAATCACTGGGGACTTAGTTCTGTATAGAAAATGCATCAAAAAGTATTTTATGAATGCAATCAAACTAGTAACAAAATATTTTCTTATGGTTGGTATATATGCCATTATACATTGTCAGTAAGGTATGGGGAGTTACCATACAAGTGAAATAGTTTTTCTACTTATATTTATCACTCACTGAAAGTAGAAAGTGTTTTGTAATTGCATCTTGTTTTAACACATTTAATTTTTATATTTTTTTAAGCCATGCAGATGGATCAGTAAAGTTTTGGGATGCTTCTGCCAGTAAGTTTCTGAAGTTCACTTTTATATAATGCTGACAAATCATGCACATGCACACACACATACATAATACATGATATTTTACAGTATGCATAATATCTCAGGTAGTATAATTAGGAATAGTCAGGAGATATTAAGCAAATTAGGAAAAAAGATTGCTAATGAGATATGTTAGAAAAGAGTGAAAGTCCAAGAGAGGGATTAAAACACCAGATCTGACATACCAAAATCTCTGAAGGAAGAAGTACTGGTAAATAATACCAAGGGCATAATCCTTGTGTGTATATAAAAGAGTGAGCTGAATTAGACCTAATGTTCAGTTTTGGTTTTCTTGTCTCTTCTATTCTGAGTACAATGTTGTCTTTTTTACAGATAAGTAAAAATAAAATATTAAAATACAATAATACATCTTAATTAAAGACCTAAGTCTTGCCCGGTCTCAAGATCCAGGAAATAATTAGGAAGCACTTACGTTCATCCTAGCAAGAAAAAGCTTCAGAAAAGTTATTCCATAGATTTTAGCTGTAATTGTAAATATCGGAAAACAGCATTTTTCCCTACAGAAAATACATATGGTACTTATTAGTAAAATATATTTATTTTTAAAGATGCATGTATTTTGGATGAAAGCAAATGTATTTTGGTTTAAATAACGTCTGTACTTCACAAGAGTCGGAGCAGTGTTGCCTTGTATTTTCTCCCCTCAGTAGTACTGAGATCTCTAGGTAGAACATCTCTTTCATGAGCTACAGTTAGAACATCTCTTTCCTGAGTTAGAAGTCTGGAAGTCTGTACTGGAAGGCACAAAATACTTTGCTTTTAGACATTTTTTAATTATTAATTTTGCATCTGAAAACACAGATCTGTGGGAGACAGGCAATTGCTAAGCCACTGAAGCAGTTTCCCAAGTTTATCTTCCCGAGTTTATCTCAAAAGCCATCTCTTACTTGCCCACGTGCAAGTGGTGCCCAGTAATTCGCAGATGCATAAGGCATAGTCTTGCATTGTACTTGTGTCCCATGACTGTAATTCTTCCAGTCCTAGTAGGGGTAGGCCCAAGATGCCTGATTCAAAGCAACTCTCTGGATTTGATGCTGAGACTAAGGGCATCCTGAGCCCTCTTCCACCTCCACAAAACAAGGAAGAATGATGAATTCATTACAGAAGCAATTTCTGCAATTTGTATAAATTCATAATATACTTAAACTGAAAAAATGATAATAATTCTGTTGTCATCTGATTACATAACTAAAATATCACTCTTCATCTTTTCATTGCTTGTTACATAGGGTAGCTGGACTGATCTAGCATAATTACAGTAACGTGCATAACAGCTTTACCTTTATGTAAATACACACCCTAATAGGTGCTGGGCCAGACTGACTTTTTCTGACCTTATGCAGTGATTAATTAATGACACTGGTAAATTAATGTAAAAATCGTAAAAAACACAGCAAAGGGGAATGTCAATAAAGCAAAATGGGGCTAATTATAATTCCTCTGTTGCCTCCAAAATTTACAGTGCTATAGTTGTACTCTTGACCAAAGCTTCTGGATATTACGTTTTTATATGCAGGTATAAATACAGATATACTTGTTAGTCAGGAAATTCAAAGAATTTTAGAACTCCTGTTCTTACAGAAAGTCTTTGTGTTGCCCAGAATATTTTCCTTTTTTTTTCTCTTAATATGCTTCTTACATTTTCCTTTCTAGCAAGACAAAGGAAATGTTAGTTTCTCATCTCATTAGGAAAACAGCAGTAGCATCAGAACCATCTTTTTTAACACTGAGTATAATCTTGCCTCAGAAAGTACTAAGAAGTATTTCACAGACAAATATACATTTTGTAAATATCAAATACTTGTCCTACCAATACTGCATATCAGAATGTAATGCCCATCTTTTTCTCTTCTTAGGCCTTCACATGATTCTTTGTTATGCCACAACTGAAAAGAAAATGGGAACTGAAGAATTTTATGACTGATTTACTTATTGTTAATCAGTATTTTTATATGTTTTAATATATTCCAGTTACTCTACAGATGTTGTACAAATTAAAAACATCAAAGGTCTTTGAAAAACAAAAGTTGGGTGAAGGAAAAGCAACAGCTGAGATTGTGGAAGAAGACCCTTTTGCTGTTCAGATGATGTACTGGTGTCCTGAAAGCCGAATTTTTTGTGTGGCAGGAGTTTCTGCATATGTGGTTGTTTATAGATTCAGCAAACATGAAGTAAATACAGAAATTGCAGTAAGTCATTCATAATCTTTTATAAAAGAACATTTCTAAATCAAAGTGCTTTCTGTACTCATATACTTGAAAAAAATAATATCAAACTTGGTAAACATAGGTTTAGGAACATTCATTTTTTATCATTTTGAGGGAAATCTTGATCATACTTAAGCTGGTAATAAAAACATGATTTTTTGCTGTCCAACTCTCTTCTTTTTCACTTTAATAGTAAAATTCAGGATCGTTTTCAGATGTAGTTTGCTTTTAAGACTTTGATCACATTAAATCTCTGTCATACTTGCCTTCTCTAAAATACTGATGGATGTATGTTTTATCAGACAATATTGCTCTTCTTAAATTAAGTATTCAGTATCTTCAATTTATGTTCATAGTATTTGTCATGAAAGGGAACTGAAAATTATCACTGGCTTTTAACAAAATTAAGAGAGTTGATTTTTTTTTTTCTGACTTACACTGACTTTGTTTCCTCCAAAATAGACACTATTTGAAATGCTAGCTGATGTATGGTTAAGTAGTTGTTATTTTATTAACCACCATGATCCTCAATGTCATTCAAATATACCTTTTTCTGTCTTCAGGTCTTATGCAGTCACTTCATTTCAGGTAGAATCATACAGTTCATGTTCTTTTAACTGCACTGCAGTCATCTTGTACTTACCATTCTACAGCATGTCAGACTTTCGTTTAAAACTCCATTTCTTCACAGGAGCCACAACCACTTCTAACAGTGTGGCTCAACAGCACTTAAAATGTAAACCAATCTTTCTTTAGTCTAAAATATTTAACGGCAGACAACTCTTAAGGGAAAGCCAATATAAACATGACTGCCTTTCCTTCTGACTTTCCAGTTTCTGACACTGGAGAATAGTCTGCAACTTCCAGATACACTCTTTCCAGAAGGTCTTTCTTCATGTATGCTGGCTCTCAAAAAATCCCCATGGCTGACCCAAACATTCCATTCCATTTACACCTTCCCTGACAAAAGTTTTCCTTTTCACACTATTTTAATGTCCGTTAGAAAGTCTGTAGTTTTGGCCTGGCAAAAGCTTCTGTGCCATTTTTGGCCTGTAATTGTGTGCCAGTTGGTAAGGAGATTAATTACCATTAGTTATTCTGCTTTTTTCCTCTCATTTTTCCACTAGAGGCAATTTTTAAGCTAGCTTGAGGCATCCTTTCAGGAAGGTTTTTAAACTAATGGACAGTAATTTCACCTTATTGACCAGTTCACACATAATGCTGCTAAAATCATTACATTTCAATGTTCATTTATTATTCCACAGCAAATGCACCTTATCTTTTATTACCTAACATTTATTTTCTTTATTTTCATGTCTTAGATTTTCAGCTGAATTGCAGCAGACCCAGGGTGTTCTAAAATATAATAGTGTGCAATTTAACAATTTCTCAGATTTCATCTGTACTTAAGAAACATTTATATAAGGAATTGTTCTGTGAAGAGTTGTTTTAGTATTATCTAATATTTTTTGGCATAGTCAATAGTTCTCCTAGATTTTGTGCATCCCTGAGATGAGCCTAATCTCGTTTCACCATTTTTGTTGCAAGCATTCAAGTCTTCATTCCTAAATGGTGTTTTTGTTGTTTTGTTTTTTGTGTTGGTTTTGTTTGTTTGTTTGCTTGCTTGCTTGCTTTTTAACAAAAAGTACAGGAGCTTTTGTTGGAATATATACCTGACTTTAGCTTGCCTAGTGTTGTCTATATTCAGACTGAGTTGGCCAGCCTCGGGACTTTGCTGCACGAGGTGAGCCCAAGTTCTAGCCCTTAGTGTCTGTAGCAACCAGCCTGAACACAGCTTGAGTTCCACCTACAAACCCCAGTATTTTAATAGACACCATGTTTGACAGCAATCAGTCTTGTAACATCATTGCTATGGTGAATGGGAAGCATGGAGGCTACTCTGAGGTTCCTCCATGTAGCAGGGAAGTCCACTGCTGAACATGCCTTAAGGCACAGGCTGTTCCTGGGACTTCCTGAATATAATGTAAGTGTTATTTGTGTCATTCCATGTCAGATTCTGGAGACAAGTAGTATGCACATGACTCAAAGTCTGCTTTATATCCAACCTTGGAGTCGTTGCCATATAGTTATGTGAAAAGCATTTGTTGCTGTTTTATTATCTGAATCCATTCCATCCAGTCCAGGAAAGATATCTAGGTATATATTAAACAAGATCACTTCCTCAGTGATCAGACTATGATTCCTCTGTGAAGCTCTCCTTCAAAGCTCTTGAGAGGAATGATACAAAATAAGTTTGCAGTAGTTTGACCATAGAAAGGAAAATCAATGAACATAGTGGTTCAATTATCAAAAAAGATCTGTACAGTGTGTCAAAATAAATTGGTGCCACCATTTTTCCTTCTATGTGTAAGTGGGTGATAGATAGAACATAACAAAATGAATTTTAGTAGAAAAAGGAAGACACAAAGAAAAATATCCAGAGAAGAATTAGGCACTTCTAACATGGTCAGCACAAGAACATATTCTTCTCATACCCTTCCCTCGTAAACATTAAACAGCATTATAAATTGTTTCAGACAGCAGCAATTACTTCCAGAAGATTAGATTTTCCTGAACTCGATATTTCACTCTTTCAAAGAAAATGTTGTCCATAGGCTTCTTAGCTGATTCAGGCAAAAAAGTGTGTATAGATTTTGCTTGGAGGAAACAAAAGTGAAAATTTGAGAAAGGACATTTTCTCTTCTGATTGAGCAAAATCGCTTCTTTCTGAAATGTTATGTTACAACACAATGGTTGAGAAATAGGCACATCTTCAGTGTACTGATCCTTATCTCCTGATTTTCATACAAATTAGATAGCTTCTTTATGCTGCCATCTTGATTTTGGTGAAGATGATGTCTCAGTGAGAAACCACTAAGAAGGAGATCTACGTTTATAATTACATCTGATCACTTCAAGAAACCAGCACTGAAATTACTATTTAGCTAGTATTCCCAAGACCTTAACTCTTAGAGGGCTGTACTTTTTCTTTTTCTTTTTCTTTTTCTTTTTCTTTTTCTTTAATTAATAATTTTCTAGATTTCTTCTTGGATAATGTGTGAGGTAGAAAGAATTACCCAATATTTATCATGATTTTTTTTAGATGATTTCTTACATAGATTTGAGCTCCCTGCCCAGTTTCCCCTGCTTTACAATTCCTTCAGTTAAAATTTCCTGAATTAGCGGAAAGAATTGAAGGATGGTTAAGCTTGGTTGGTCTCCTTTTCCCTATCCAGAGATCCTAGAAGGAAAGTGAAAGTTAAGTGGTTTAGATTTTGCATTCTAGAATCTGCCAAACGCATTTGCAGTCTAAGGAATATGGAACTCTGTGCTGTTACGTTTGATTTCCTGACACCCACATATGGACAGATGGAGTTCATGGACCAGTACTGCTCACACTGTTCAGTTTCTGCAGACTGGCTAAACCCTGACTTGTAGAGACTCTCTTATACTAGCAATACAGAGAAAGAGTTGATGATTATTTAATTAATTGGCTTAGGAAAAAAATAAAATGGACAATAGATGGAAAATTTTCATGACATTGATTCTTAATGCTGCCTTCTTATGCTGAAATATTGTTTATTTGGGAGTCTTTTCAGGCTAAGTTCTGGAAAGCTGTAATCTTTCCTTTCACTTACAAGAAAAGGCTTGGATCAAAGTCAGCACTGGAAGAATATACTTAATTAATTCTCCAAGTTCCTATGTGATGTTAGGCTGTATAAATAAAAAATGACAGTACTCTTTGCTTGCACATGATGATGATAAATGTTTTGTGTTTTTTTGCTTGTTTGTTTGTTTGTTTTAAGAAAATAAGATTTACTGATATTTATTTGAAAGTAATAAAACTTTCAGCAGCTTTCTTTATTAAATTGTGACTTAGCTTTTTATTTATTTAAGTCACTAGAGGTACGACTTCAGTATGAAGTAGAAGATATCATTACTCCTGAACCAGAAATAATTCCCCAGTTTCCAGATGCCTCTTCCCAGCTTCCTTCTTTAAAGAGCCTTTCAGGCAGTACCAACACTGTAGCATGTGAAGGAATGATGAAGGACAGTATCCCATGTCTTAGGTAAGTCTATGCCATCATTCAAATATTTATCTTTCTAAAAAGTATTTGTATCAGGTGTACTAATGATTCAAGAAAAGGAAGTTAATTATATGTATGTGACATATCATATGACATATATGACACAATGAAAAAAATGGAATTTTAAACAAACAAAAGAATTAAGGCAAAATAATGAACACTGGATTTTAAATAGCTGGAATTAAGTTATGGAGAAAACAAAATGTTACAGTTAAAGCTTGACTGAAATTTTCCAGTATGATCTATGAGTGAATCTTATCTCACATCTAGTTTTGAATGGAATATAAGCACTACAGAATAGATCAATGAATTTTTGAGGAACTTTTTTTTTTTTTTTTTTTAAATTCACAAAGATACTTCCATAAAGCGGTCATGTGCAAAGCTTTTGGTCCTTGATTAATTAGTGTAATAGTAAAACCATCCTCTGTGAAAGAAGTATGTGTATTTTATGACATGTTGGGGAAGGAAACCATGTTCATAATCACCAAACAGTCTTAAATGTTTTGAAACATTTGCACCATGTGGAAATATATAGGTGTTTAACCTTTAGGAAGAAGCAAACTGTTGCCTGCTACAGCACACATTGCTATTGTTCGGGATAGAATAATATGTCTTGCTAATAAGGCAGATAAATTATAGGCTTAAAGAGTTTCAAAACAGAATTCTGTACAAAACTCCATAAAACATGATTTCACAGGAATTACAGTGCACTTCTAATAATGATTCCTCTCAGTGAATTCATTATTATTTCAGTCTAATTATTATTAAATATTTTAAATGCCTCAATTACTTCAAAAGCAGTTTACATGAACATTCCTTACTTTGCAGATATTTCAGTCTGTTGTGCTCCCGAAAAATAGCATTAACATTTAAAAGCAATATTGTGACATTGTTCATGCATAATTGACAGTAGCTTTTGGCATCCTGTTCATTTGTCCACCTCATTCAGTCTAGCAGCTGAATCTCAGACATAAGTTTAATGATTAATGCAAACCATTAAAATCAATAGAAGAGGCAGAGAGGAGTTATTAAAAAAATCTCAATGGGAAACCTTTCCGTGCCATTGAAATCAGTAAGAATGCAATTGATTGTTTCAGTGAATAAGATTTTCCCTTAAGGGATTCTTATTTGCCTCAGTTTGGAAAGGGAAAGCATTGTTGATTTGGAAGGAAGCAAGGCTGTAATAAATTTGGAGATGTTCTGATAGTTCATTTTTGGAAATTTACTAAACTCCATGCCATCCTTCCATCCTCTGGTACCAAAACCTTGCCACACAACTTAAATACTCATGCAATCAGAGAGGAAAAAATACAGGAACAGGCCATGGTCATGAAAAGGACAGCAGATGGTTATGTCTTTGAAATCCCAATGAAGGTCTTGTTCCTCCTCCTGAAATGCTACATATATTCTGCTGTGATAGCCAGATATGTGATCCTGTACTCACAGGTATACTAGATATGCTCTGATAGGACAATGAAATTTGGGGAGGCTGCAGAACCTGGGAAAACTGTAGGTGGTTGTGAAAGACATTGCACACCTAGTAATAAACTGTTCAGCTTTTTCAATGCTTGCCCCAGCTCCTGTTTCAGCTGCTTCATCTCTTCATGCTTGACAGAACAATGTTACTAGTTCCAACATGGTATCTCAAGCAATGACACTACAGCAAGTGCTTATTATGGCTAGGTCAACCCACACCTCAGAAAGTCTTATCTCACTACTGCCAGCACCACTTTTTGGCTCACAGGATTTCTTTAGCATACTTTTTGGCATGCTTCTTTGTTTGCATGTCTGTCCAACCATGGTAGTAACAATGTTCCTGATGCAAGACAATTAAAGTGGTTACTTTCTTCTCTCCAACTGGGCAGATAAGGTGCTATTCATCCCTTCCAGTTTTGGTCAAGACTGGTGCTGTTGAGTGCTTTCCTTTTCCTCTTATGACTGCAGCTTTGAGTGGAGGCAGGGAGGGGTGGTAATCCAGACCCCTAGCCTGCAGGTCTGCTCCCACAGCTGGTCCTGGATGATAAGGAGGGAGGAAAATGAGGAAGGGAACAAGCATCCTGCTTACTGAACTGTGCAGTGCTGTCTTTCCTATGGCAAGATCTGAGCCAAGTGACTGATTATTGCTTTAGAGAAATAGATACATAAGGTCTGAACAATGCTACAGACCAGAGAAAAAGAATAGTGTATCACTCCAATGTGAAGGAAATTAATTTAGAAAGATAGATGAGGAATACCTTTCCTATTAAAAAGTAAATGAGGGAAAGGTTGGCAAGGCTAGTGAAACCTTTAAATTAATAATATAAGCAGTAAAGCATAAACTGTGTAACTGATGGTTAAACAGTTGAGGACCCCATGTGAATGTATTATGAAAAAAATTGGTTGCCAGAGATATTCTATTGTGTGTCCATGCCCACGTGTTGTTTGCAGGTGTTGTCCATTTTCCCAGCTTTGGGACTACACAGGTGCTAGCAGGTGCTGTTCCAGCTGGCTGCACCCAGGGCACCCCTGGGCCCCACAGTCAAGCTAGGAGCACCTTGGGGGAAGCCTTAAAAGTATGAGGAGTGTTGTGCAGTCCCCTCTTCTACATAATTTCTGTTAGAATTAGAACACTGTTTGCTTTGTACTTTTTCAGTTGTGCTACATCAGTTGTCTGGTTCTCTTGCCAACTTTTGCCATGTTATTATTTGGTAGTTGCTTTATTTCAGTTTTCTGCATCTATTTTCACTATTCCAAGTGTGATAGATTGCCAACAGCCAAATTTGCCACTAAGGCCTCTATCCCACAAAATGCATTCAGTTAAACAAATTAAAAACCAATAGCCATGGTTGTTGAATGAGAAGCCTGAACATTCCCTCTTGAGAAAAATGCTTACATACATCTGAGTAGAAATCAGTTGATGTTTTTCCAGTCTGATCCACTGTCTTTTCAGGTGCATGGGCCAGGAATGCTTGGAAAGCTTGCTAAGTCACATATTAGTCATGTTCAGGAGATACTCTGCATCAGCAGTCATCAACGATGTCCTCTCTACAATCCAGTACATAGGATAGTACAGTTTTAGTTATTTACAGTATGGCTATGTGTAGAGATGCACTTACAGCATAAAAAATTATTATTTGCCAATAATTGCAATTTTTCAGAATGTTGTTGTCAATGTATATATTGACTAGCTACTTTCTTTCTTTTCCTGAATCTTACTGGTTTTTTGGATACTATTTTTCACGGGGGTAGAAGATAATATGTGGTAGACTGCCCTATTATGACTGTGTGCAGAAAGGTGCAATATATGCACTCTCAGTATTTACAGCTATCGTAAATAGTCGCTGGCTAGTGGGCTTTATTTATAAATTACTGTCTACAGTGTGAATGTACTAATGAATAACACATCTCAAAGTGTTGCTGTTCTTGCACAGTATCTCTTTCAGTGTATCATGAGTTCTACAAGTCAAGATCATAAATAACACAGGCATACAAAAATGTTCATTTCTTAAACCCTCCTCAGTGTACACCTTCACTATGTGCTTTGCAAGTCACTGAATTTGCCATAAGAAAATCTGAAGAGGTGCTAATATTTATACCAGGTTTTATGTAGGAAGCATTTATTCATTAAGACTAGATTGTGTATGTGGTAATTATACTCATAAGAATAAAACAGGACTTGTTTGCACTAGATGGACAAATAAAATTGTCAAGTCCAGAAGTTTTGGTTATGCAATGGTGAGGTGCAGTATGGAGAGGCACATCTCATCTGTCTTCTCTTGCCTTACTTCAGAGCAAGAAACTTCCAACAACATAGAAATGTCCCATGTGAGATTTTTCAGAAGAAAGTATTTTATGTTTTCCATGTAAGTTCATGCCAATTTTTAAGTGTACGTTATATAGTACAAGAAAATAGTCATGAAAAGGAAAATGAAAACAAAATGATGAAGCAAAAATTATTTTTATTGACCCCAAGTGCTTATCTCACCTATATCTTCTCCAGAGTCTCTCCTTTAGGGAATGTTGAAATTTTCAAATTTGTTTCTACAACAGAAATTAAAGTCAAAGCCTAAAATTCATCCAAAACATTCCTGTTCTGGAATGCCTAGTGGAAATGCCTAGTCTCAATGTACAGGTATTCACAAAATATGCTGCAAGTATGGGTACTGCTCTGAACTTATTAGAGGATTCTGCTTCACTAGTATTGTCTCAGGGTAAGTGGTTGTTATTCATGGCCCAGTTTGTTTGTTTGTTCTTGTTTTGTACCTCTTCTTCTCAGTGTTAAGACTCGACCTGTGCGAATGCCTCCCGGATACCAAGCAGATCTTGTTATTCAGTTGGTGTGGGTGGATGGTGAACCTCCACAACAGATTACCAGTCTTGCTGTAAACTCTGCTTATGGACTGTAAGTAATGCAAAATTAAGGTGCATTCATTTATTGTTTATTGCACTGTCACATATTTTCCAGTTATACTTTGAAGTTCTCTGCAGACATTTGAAGTCAGAGTAAAAATAATCAAAAGGTGCTATAACCCACATTTGGGGGGAAAAAATATTTGAATTTGCATAAAGACTGTAATACTAGATGTTAAACTTGCATTCTTGCCAATATTTTTACTATTCCTGTTTAAAAGACTGAACTGTTTTCCATCACTCTACCCATCCTTTCAAATAAAATCCAATTACCTTTCAAATCTGAAAGTTATTTTGAAAGGATAACCAAGGTGAAATATATTTTGTAAAAAAAATGGTGATTATGTGTTAAATGTCATTGGTAATGATATTGTATCTTTAACTGGAAATTATCTTCTGAGAACAGTATTTTTATGTGTGTGCTATTCTCTGTTTGGAAGAGAAGCAGAAACCTGAAATTGAAAATTGAATAAGGAGCCTTCAAATGCTAAATTCTGTATGGAAATGCAAGTGAGCATATCTGTGTGTATCTTTTTCCTCAAGTTCAATTTAATTGCCTTTTTTTTTGTTTTCTCTCACTGAGGGTTGCCCAGAATGCATTAATCAGATTTCCTATGTAGAGGATGTAAGTCCAGTAAAAAACATGAGTGTTAGGTGTCTGATTCCCACAGATATTATATAAATCAGCTGACACTTCAGAGACTTTAAAATTTTATGCAGAGCCAAAATTCTTACATCTATGCAAAAATACTGTGTTTTGGGTGTTGTTTCATCAGGTCTTTGGCCTGAGCTTTCAAATAGTTTCTATTCATGAATTCCATAAGTTTCTTTTGTTTTACCGTATCAAGGTTCATTTATCACTTGTGTAAATTGTTTGGTTTTGCCTCATTTGCTCCCTTGCAGGTCTCAGGACTCAAAGAGTCATTTGACTTCAGGAATAATCACATAATTCTCTCATACGTAAACTACTCTTCTGGGTTCCAATTCTCCTAGTATTTACAGTGGTTTTATAAATGTGCCTGATTCAATGAGCGAAATTGTTTTCTTTGCTAGAAGCAGTAGTAATTTATGGGACAGTCTCCTTCAAAACAGCATATACTAAGTATGAGAGAAATAAACATGTTAGACAATAAAAAAGTCCAATAACCTAAGGTTTCTTTTCCTACAAGATCTACCTAAAATGTCCTATTTCTCTAAATTTCCTCTGCAAAGTGTCTTCTCTCTTCCTCTGTATTGTTTACTTCAACTTCTTCCTTGTGCTTATACTGACAATGTACAATCCTATCTTTTCATCAGAATTTAGTTTAATGATTTAGTTTTCTCCTGATGTCTAGCTTCACAGTATGGAAAAACTGTGTCACTTCAGCATAAATTTTGAGGATGTGTCATTTTTATCATGCTATTAGTGAGGTTATTTTGCCTTTATATTTTTTTTCCAAGAATAATTAGGTTAACTAGAAGGAAAGCATAGTGTGTTCCAAGGTGTGTACTTCCAGAATTATTTTAATTACTTTGATTTCTGTAACTGTATAGTACAAACAATAGGAACTCAGTGTCTCTCGTGTTACTGCAGCCATGAAACAGGACTAAAGTAAGATATAGAAAAAAACTTTTATGTCCAGTTTTATGTCCAGCAAAGATTAAAGTCTTCAGGTGCTGCGAAATTTTATTTAATTTATGCTGCTTACCTTTAACAGTGCCAAGCTACAAATTGAAAATATTAACACCTGTTTTATTTCTGTTTAAATGAATCATCCAAAAACTTCTTGATGTGATGAGAGTAAAAAAGAAAAAGTTACAAAATGCTTCAGTTGCATACAAAGAGCTACAAGGTCAAATACAGATACTAAATTTGATTCAAATTATTTTTTGTTGGACTGAAAGAAAGTCTCTGAAAAATGATTAGCAGCTCATGTGCTAAAAATTTTGAACAAATTAATTGTCAAGGAAAGACTGTTGAAAATTTTAAGACATTTCTGTGAAAGACATGGAAATTTCCATTCACTCAATTTTGAAAAATTCATTGTGTTTATTTTGTATTTGATTTTATAATGACTTAATATGTTAGCACTTTGTCTTAAGGCTTGTTTATAGTAATGTCTGCCTAGATTTTCTTATCATTCCTGAGAAGCATTTTAATATTAATGAGAAAATTCTTATTTTTTTGGTAATTTTGTAAGTTATAAGAAATAATACATCCATGATTGTCTGTGAACTTAGAGAAGTTTAGAAAAGTGCAGACTACGAAGTGAGGAGCTGTTTTCTTGATTTGATGATTTGCTGACCACAGAGTCAGATTATTAACTCTTCATTTGCCTCATGTTTTCCAAAATTAATAAATCTCAGGTTAATCATTCTCAAGATGCAAGTGTTTATCACTTTTGATGCCTAAAGTATTAACAGATGAGAATGATACTGGTACAATTTTTATTCCCTTATTTTTCCTCTTCTCCACCTATCTGGTCTTTTATGAACATAGGAATTGCTGTCACCATTTACACTAATAAGCTTTATTATTTCAATATCCTTTCTCTGACAATTCCTATTAACATGATTTAAAGCAAAATACAAGAATGGCAAAGAACAAATTGTGAAATAATTTCTTTCTATTCCTTGTCAGTCAGTTTGTGTCAAGAAACATGAAGATGTATTAAGCTTTGTATAAAGTAGTCTTCCAGCAAATATGACTGATACCATTCATTTTTTGTCCCAGGGAAACTCTGTGAAAAGTTCTTCTATTATATGAAACAGGTTTTAATAATTTCTGAAACAGATATTTCTCTACATACCTAAAATGTAGTATTTTTGTAATTATACTATTCAATAAAGCAACATATAGACGTTATTGCAATGCATTTGGCACAAAAAAGTTAAAATAGGCTGTCTGCCTTCTGGAATGTAACTTACTGTGTTTCAGGACACAATTTTATAAAATCAGAATTACTAATCTGTAAGAATTAAAAAAAATAAGCTTTGAGTAGTTTCTGAAGATTTTTTTTTTTCAGAATTCATAATATTAAATAGCAATTACTGTTTGCTCCACTTAACTATGTATTACTGATACCTCTGAGAAATATTTATTTTTTTTAGAGTGGCATTTGGAAACTGCAATGGTTTGGCTGTTGTGGACTTTATGCAGAAGACAGTACTGCTGAGCATGGGAACCCTTGACCTATATGGATCAAGTGATCCATACCAACGTCAACCCCGTTCGCCTCGCAAAAGCAAGCAGTTTGCTGCAGGTAGGAAGTAAAACATTGTGGTTATGAGCCTGATGTTCTTTGTTTTTTTGCCTGTGGCTTTTTATAGTGCTTTTGAAATGCATGACTATTTGCCAGCCAATGGAGTTTCTATAACTTGACAAAAGAAATCTGACATACTTTAGGTACTGATGCTTTCTCTCAGAAACAAAATGTATGAGGAAGTTTGTTCTTTTGGGATGGAGGTCAGCAAGTAATTCCCTTAGCTGAGTTTCTAAAAAATTGTAATGAGTAGACCAGCAAATTGTTTCTCTAGCAGTCACTTGAAGTGTAGTCTCTATATTGGTTGTTGTTTTTTTTCAGTTTTCATTAAGTTCACACCAATAGGTAAGACTTCAATTTAAACTTAACTGCACCTTCTGCCAAATGTTATCCATTGGTATTTGGATAGGCAGTTGTGTATGGAGAATAGAGTAACAGCTGAGAGACATGATACATGCATGTAGATAGCGTAACTAGCTCCAATTAGCCACTTCGTTAGTGACTTGAAGCTCCTGATACAAACTTAATAAATCCAGCTGTACCACATCTTAAAATCTGATGCTAAGAGGGTAACATTTCACAGCTGTTATGCATTGCATGTTAGAAATATTAGTTACATTTAAATTTTGCCAGACATTTTTGGTTATCTAAGAACTTGACTTGTATGAGGAAAAAAAAGATCTATGTTTCAAGTCTTTTTACTCCATATATTCCATTGTAACGTACTTGAGTCAGAGAAAATTATGAAATGCGATCCATATAGCTGTGGAGTTTTAGAATTAGATTTAAAAATCTGTTTGAAAATGTTGAGTGCTTTAAATCTAACTACAAAGTTATAAAAGCAGGAAATAACAATGGTTTTATGACATCAGCATTTTCATCAGCAGACCTTAAACTAAATCATCAAATCCTATTTCTCCATAGAGTCAACATAATTTTTTTTCATTGTAAATATGATTGCATTCCAAAAATAAAGTAAAATTTGGAGAATAAAATGTAAGTCTTCAGGCCTACTTTCATCCCTGAAAGACCATTTGTCTCACTTTCTAGGCATTTAATCATGGCAAGTTTAGCTCTCATCTGTGCCAAGTGTTAAGGATGTAATTTTGGCACAGCTGAGGAAAGAGACAAGCAGCTTTAAGCTATCTTCAGCTTCTCTCTCTGGTTCAGCCTGACTCACAGCAGCTCCCCGTGTAACTTGAGCAGCCAGCCGTAGGCAATATGCTGCAGAGCCGTGTACAAAAGGTAGAGAGGTTAACTGTCCTAGAAATAGGTATCGTCAGCATTGTGCCACACAGGATTTCTACGTGTCAGGGATAATATATGCCACTCCTTTAAGGCAATATTCCAGCTGTGTTGCTATAATGGAGTCTGCTAGGTGTAAGTGTCCACTAAGAACAAATATGCACTTCTAGATTGCTCATAGAAGCTATGCATCTAAAAGAAATATACTCAGCTGCTTTCTCACCATCCATCCCACATCCTTTACTTTTTTTGATTATTTTTCTTGTTATATTTCCCAATTGGAAGGTAAGCATCTGCTGAAATTTCTTCACCTTGGCTGTTCTAGATGCTGGTTATGGATATCACTTCCTTTCACTTTAGACTGTTTTTTCTCTCTTTCCTCTGCCTGCTGCTGATGCTGGTGTACTGGCATGTTCCAAAGACAACTTTTGCATGCGTGGCCTGTCTAACTTTTATCCAGATTTAACGAAACGGATCCGTACTTCCTATCAGAGTAAGTTCTATAAAGGTTAGGCAAATAGCTTTATGATGATGAGACTATGCCTGACTTAAACCCATGTGTTTGTGCTTAGTAATGTGTTTCTTAAACACATTCAGCATGCATGCAACTTATACTTTGTAATGTCAACCATGCTTAATTTTGACAATTTTCTTGTTATACAGATACTTCAGATCTGTTTTCTTCTTCCAAAAGAATCAATAAGAAAATCTCATGGACTAATGGGGCAGATTTGGCCTTAGAAATGAATTTTCAATAATGTCACATTCTTGATGACAATATTTTCCATTGGTTTTGTTTTCATTTCAGTGTACACTTACTTATATGAAGCATTTCTTGTTTTGTGATGGCACTGCCTGGTTGTAGTTATTAATTAATTCTTCCCTATTCTCAAAAGAGCAATGTGGTTTAAAGGTCTACCAATTGGGTTGCGTGCTGTGAAATTTTAAATTTTAATCTTGCTTTGGTACTTGAATATTTGGCTTTGGGGAACCATTCAGTGACTCTGATCTTTAATGGGGAATGTAAAGTAGGTATAAAAATACACACATCAAAGAGTTATGAAAATTAATGTTTTTAATATTTTTAATTTTTGAATTACAGTGATATGCAATTTAAATATTAGCATTCATCACTGCACAATGTGATGAACAAAGCTATAATTAATTTTGCAAAAATGACTGTTCAGCCAACGAGCTGTATGCATCTTAATTAACTGCAGTGCTTATATGTAATTAGGTCTCCAGGATGCCTCTTATTCATCTCTTTTTTTAAAGTAGCTTTCACAGAACAACTGGATAGGCAATTTTACATTGAATACTCAATGTAGGCAAAATAAAGAAAGGTGACAGTTGTTTTAGCATCTCACATCAGTACCGAGTCATATAGTTATTGAAATACATTTGTACATTCACACATGAAATTCTATTTTGTCTCTCTAGACTGATTATTTAAGAACTGATTTCTATGATTTTATTTCATAGTACTTCATAGAAGGTGGCCTGTTTAGTTAAAAGACCAGGCCGGTTAGAAATCTAGCAGCCCATAAAGAGGACCAGTGTATGTTGTAAACATTATTGGTCAAGTCTTTCTAATTTCAAGTCCGTAAGAGAGAACCCAAGGAAGAAACTGCAATCAAAGGTTTGGGGGTTTCTTCAAAAGCTAGAATGAATAAATACTAAGACCAAAATAGACCAGCATGTTTATCCAAAATGACAAGCACAGACCACAGGTTTTCAGAGCTGAGAATTTGTAAAGTAGTTTCTATCTTCAACCCCAAAATATTTCTGGATACATTATAACTGAAGGTTCCGAGTTTGGCTCTTGTGCACTATCACTGACAACTTCATCTCTTTCCTTAAAAACTGTTTTGTTGCTTTTGCCTTTTGATACTGAAGTATCAAATGAGTATGTACATGTATACAGAATATGTACTGTGTGATCTGAAAGATGCACCAGACACTATGACAAAGAACAGGGCAAGAATGTGTCAGAGCGTAAAATATCTCAGCTAGTGAGCAATATTTATACAGCATCTCCAGCTGCTAAGTCATTCTCAAGTTGTACTTTGTTACAGGTCTAATGTGAGATAGGAGATTTAAGAGAGGTTTTGAGGATGCATTTAGGATTTTGATTACAAGCTTATTCTTGTAAGGGACAATGATGGGAAAATAAAAATAAATTATTTTTGGAAATTGTATGCTTGAAGCTGATATCCAGACAAAAGCAGGAACAGTCATATGATAGATAACAAGCATTAGGTCTAAAGTATTGAGGATTATATGAATAAAAATGGGAAGTTAATGGGAAGACATAGCAGGGTTTTATTCAATTAAAGTAATGAACCAAGAAGATAATTTCATAAGAGTCAGTTTGAAAGAAACAGACTTGGATTCATTGAAGCCAAAGAAACATTATTAATGAGCAAGATATTTCTATCAATCATTTTGGAGATGATTTGCAGCAAGGAACTGTCTAGTTTGTATCCAGCCTGAATCTAAGAGTTAGTGTGATGTTCCAAAGGTGAAACTAGTACTATCGATTAAAGTATTGGTACTGTTTATGATGTTGAAGTAGTGAAAACAAAAAAGACTTCATGGGATAAAAAATAGTTTATACTGGTGATAAGTTCATGTCTGGACGTTTATGAGTAAATTTTAGAAACACAGGTATGCTACTCTAACTTGGATGGAAGGAATCATAGAAGAGAAGTTTTTATGAATCATTCGGGTAAGAAAGATACTGCTCATACTGGGCCAGAGAGATGAAGAAAGGGTAGATGTTTCAGTTTGGGAACTGAACAGAGTGAGTAAAAGAACTGCAACTAAAGAGGGAGAGTGAAAGAAAGCGTCAAACAGGGAAAAGAAGCAGTATCTTGGAGACGAGGTTTGCCAAAGGAAAGGCGTGTTCAGCAATGTCAAGGACACGTGATATATGAAGCAGAAAAAAAAATGTTATGAAATTTAGCCAATAAATCTGTAGAAAGCTTGATATAAAAAAGCTTAATATATACATGTGTAAAGCAGGCTCAAAAGGGCTTAGAGCATCAAGGCAGCATGTTTGCCAGCTTGGGAAGCAGAAGTGGGAAGGGGGAGGGAAGAAGGGATGAAATTAAAAGGAGCAATGTAATCAGCTCTAGGCATATTATAATATATATATAGGCATATTATATGAGAGGGACGGGAAACATGATTGTCCTATCAGGAGAAGTAGTCTGAGGAAAATGCAAGGCTAAGAGAAGAAGTAAGTAGACAGCTGGAGAAAGTTTTTGAAGGTTGAGGGCTTTTCTATTTGCTGCATTTGCTGGCAGCCATCTTCATTTGTAGCAAGACTGTGCCAAACCAAATAAAATCTCTTTGCAGTAGTGCTAAACTGGGATGGGGGTAAAGATGCGCTGTCTTTTTTTCTTTATCCACTTGAAATCAAGTTGTACATGTTATTACCTAGCAGTAGATAACATATTCCAATACTAAAACAAATACACATGCTGCATCTACAAAGATTGTATTTGCAGCAGAACATAAAAATACCAACTTGCAAAGCCAGCTTGATGTCCTGCTAGAAATTCATACCGTCTGTTGGTAAAACAAGAAAATAGTGTTTTGAAGCATCCAAAAAAGGCAACAACTTAAAGGATGTTTATTCTCCACTGGAGAATAATGTTCAGAACCAAAACTTTTCACTGAGAACCCTTTATTCCTCCTTCAGGCCTTCACTTTGAGAGGATGTGAGTAAAAGTAACCTTGCTCTGAAACGAAGACACGAATACTGTGTAATGAGTCATTAATTTTTAGTAATTAACACTAAATCACTCCTAACAATGCAGTTGAAGCTAATCTAGGTTGAGTTTTAAGTCACCAGCTACATTCTAAACTAGCTGCCATTTCCAAAAAATGCGTCCTTTATAAATATAAAGGAAAAATAGACAAAGTAGAGACATTAATGCATTTTTCACCTCTGTCTTCAACACCAGTGATGGGCTCTTGAACCCCAGCTGCCCTCAATTGGAGGACTGTGGCTGTGGGAATGATAAACTCCCAGTTAATCTTGCAATTGTGCAGGATTTGCTGCTTCACCTGGCTACATATAAGTCCATGGTGCCTGAGGGGATTTTTCCCAGAGTATTCAGAGAGATGGTTAATGTTATCACAGGACCTCTCTCAATTATTTTTCAACAGTCTTGGGAATCCAGAGAGGTTCCAGTTGACTGGAAGCTGGCAAACGTGGTCCCAATTTTCAAGAAAGGCAAGAAAATCCTGATAATTGCAGTCCTGTCAGTCTTACTTCAGTGCCTTGTAAAATCATGGAGAAGATTATTCTGGGAGTTATTGAAAAACACCTAAAGGACAATGCAGTCATTGGTGAGAGCCAACATGGGTTCACACAGGGAATGTCATGTCTAACAAACTTAATTTTCTTTTACAACAAGTACAGCCAGCTAGTTGACCAAAGGAAGCTAGTTGATGTAATCTCTGAATTTCAGCAAAGCTTTTAATACTGTCTCTCCAGTATCCTGGACAAAACGACCAGAATACAGTTAGATAAAAGCATAACAAGATGGGTGAACAGTTGGCGGATGGGTCAGGCCCAGAGAGTTCTTGTAAATGGGGTTACATCAGGCTGGTGGCCAGTTACTAGTGGGGATCCCCAGGGCTCCATCGTAGGTCCAGTAGTCTTCAATATTTTCATAAACTATATGGGTGATGGACTTGAAGGTTTTTTGACCAAGTTTGTGGACAATACCAAATTGTGTGGAGCTGTTGAGGGTGGTCCTTGCAGAGAGATCTGGACAAATTAGAGGGCTGGGCAATCACCAGCAATTTCAAGTTCAACAAGTGCAAGTGCCAGGTTCTGCACCTGGGAAAGGGGCAACCCTGGCTGTACATACAGACTGGGGGATGAGAGGCTGGAGAGTAGCCCTGCAGAAAGAGAGCTGAGGGTTTTGATGGACACCAAGCTGAACATGAGCTAGCAGGGTGCCTTGGTGGCCAGGAGGGCCAACCATGTCCTGGGGTGCATCATGAACAACATTGCTAGTTGGTCGTGGGAAGTGATTGTCCCCCTCTACTCTGCATTTGTGTGGCCTCACCTTGATTACTATGTTCAGGTTTGGGTGCCACAGTGTAAGAAAGATATAAAACTCTTAGAGAGTGTCCAAAGGAGGGCAACAAAAGTGGTAAAGGGTCTGGAGAGGAAGACGTATGAGGAGCAGCTGAGGTCATTTGGATTGTTTAGCCTGGAGAAGAGGAGACTGAGGGGAGGCCTCATAAAGGTCTACAACTTTGTCAGGAGGGGAAGTGGAGAGGCAGGCACTGATCACTCCTCTCTGGTGACGAGCATTAAGACCCAAGGGAACAACTTGAAGCTGTGACAGGAGAGGTTCAGGCCGGATATCAGGAAAAGGGTTTTCACCAAGAAGGTGTTTAGGCACTGGAACAAGCTCCCAAGGCAGTGGTCATGGCACCAAGCCTGATGGAGTTCAAGAAGTATTTGGACAGTGCTCTTATACACATGATCTGGTTTTCATTTATTTATTTATTTTGGGTGGTCCTTGGGGGATCCAGGAGTTGGACTCAATGATCCTTGTGGGTCCCTTCCAACTTCTATGATTCTATAGTACGGTAGTTCAGTGTAAAGACTGATTAAGATAACATTGAGTTTACTTATTGGCTCATGAATAGTAGAATTTTCTTATAATTTATTAATGTTTAATTAAAGATATGGCTATGGATTTTTAAGTAAATTATGTCTGAATTGTGAAATTATAGAGTTCAAAATTTTTTAATTAAAATTATTTTAAATTGAGTTCATAAAAGCTTTTTCATACTAGACAGTGCACTTTTAATCCCTTACTAATATTTCTGGTTCTTTATTAAAAAGGAGATGGCAACCAGTAAACTTTGAAAAGTGTCTGTGTGATGCCATTAAAATTGATTTATGCTTCATAAGGTATATTTAGATATTGCATAAGTTTCATGTTTATAATTTCTTCAAAAATCAACTTCATTATAATGTCAACAGGTACATCTTCTCACAGATGGTTCTTTAAATTCCCAATCTCAATTATTTGCCTTTAGTTTTGCTGGCATGTTCTTCTTGATCTACCTGGACTCAAATTTTGCTAGTTATTTTTGCTAAAATTAGCTAAAATATCTTGGGACACAGATTGGGCCTACAGAACTTCAAAGCAAGAAGTGAACTTGTGTTTTTTTTTTTTTTTTTTAATGCAACAGCAAGTAGCTGTTGTAGCCTCTCAAAGATTCAAGGGAAACTGAGCTGTGTGGAAATGCTTGCTGGTGAGGAATTATTAAAAAGATTTAACATGGTTTCCTTATAAAGGAAATGACAGTAGAAAATAAGCACTGGTACATAGAAGAGCTTGCGTACTTCCTTTCTTATCTCAAAGGGAGACAAATGACAACATTTAATGGAATCAAAGGTAACAAATTAAAAATTGACAAACGTGTTTATTCCTTTCAGTGAATGATTTGATTGTGCAAGTCATTGTCAGATAATACCTTTGGGATTGTTAATTTAGTGAGATTAAAAGAAACTTTGAATAATGAGTAGAACTCAATGTGTCTAAGCAAGAAAGCTTTATGGCAGAGCAAAATCTGCAAGCGTCAGTTCTTAAGCAAATCCAAGTGTCCAAGAGAGACTAAGACAGCATGCTTGTGGAGGGCATGTAAATCCCCACACTAAGCATAAGTGATATTATTGCACTTTTTTTGTTTGTTTGTTTTAAGCATATGCTGGTGGACATTATTAGAGATTATAGTGTCCTGACAACTAGTCTAGATCTGTAGAGAAGTTTGCATTCACCAGTCTAAAATGCCATAATATGAGATGCCTCTTTACTGTAGTAAGCTGTTGAACTGTTGCCAAGCATAAAGAGCTTATGATATTCTCACAGTAGTTGCTATTTGTTTTTCAGAACAGTGGTGTATTTGGCACATTTCCTACATAAATCAGTGGCACCATAATGTGGCTTGAGCCATAATACTGTCTCTTTGAACTCACAAAAAAAGGAATTTTATTTAGAATTAAATATGATCTAGGATTTGGCATTGTAACTGTAACCAATAGTAACTCAGTGTAGTTTTGAAGGATTTGTTAATGATAACATCATAGCCATAGTCTTAAGTTTTTAAAACTCCATCATTGCACTTAGAAAAGAATCAGATTTTAATATTTAATTTTATTTATATGAGGCCTCTCATATATTAATGAACCAAACTTGCACTATACCTTGCAGAAACTTCTGCTGCAAAAATCAAATGCCCCAAATCTGCAGGTACGTACAGAGACCACAAAGTGAGGTGTAAGATTTGCACTAAGAAAGATATACATAGAGAGGCTCCCTGAATGCTTGCAGTTCCTGAATTCTGTTGTAATTCCAAAAGTAACTAGATTCAACTGATTACAATATAAAATTCTGCCACAGATTCTAAATTGAATCAAAAATGATTCAATTAAATTTTTTTTGAAATACGTTTTTGGGGGTTTTGACATTATTGAGGTCTCTTCCAACCTAGAAATTCTGTGATTAACATCTGGATTGTAATTTTCTTTCATTTAAGAGTCAGGAGCAAATATGGTATTACTACTTGACAGGCCAAACTGATGCAGTGTTCTTAATGGTTTTCTAGCAGTGGCATAGCTTAACTAGTGGTGGCAGCTTTTTATTCTGCTTATCAGACTCTGGATATTCCAAATTTCTCAGAGCAGTTCAAAATTACACTGTAACAAGAATACCTGTATCTCCATTGAGATCCCATTGTTTTTAATACAAAAAGATCTTCTGTGGTACCAGACTTCAATGACTGAATGGTACCAGAGTTTTCTTTTATTTTTTTAAAACAAGTGTCTAGATGGATTTTAGAGGTGAAGTCCCTGAAGTTTAATGTCCAGAAGCCATGCAAAATTAAAAACATATCATGTGGCGGGACTGGTGCCAGATTAAAGCATACTGAAAGGTCCAGATAGGACGTTTGACTTCCAGGATACATCAACATCAGCAGTGTGCGTAAACACACTGCTAGTACTACAGTGATGTGCATCTGAATGTGGGCTAATGCTCACTAGACTCTATGACCTGAGTGCTGTGAGTGTAGCTGCTAGCAGATGGATGTCTGGTGCTCGGCTGTCTGCCAGTCTGAAGCAGCCTATGGCATGAAGTGTCAGATCTCCTTGTCACAAGTGATACAGGGCACGATGGGTTACATATGAAGAGTGTGTTTGAATAGGTATGGCCATGCCCAGCTCACCCACTCAACAGTTAGCCCATGGTAAAGGATAGCACAAGACATGCCCAGAAGGCATGTTCAAACTCATGTATGCAATCTGTGCTAAAAATGGGTCTTAGCTTGATCACAGACACGAGCCCAAGCTTAAGCAGTATAAACTCAGCTTACATTACTTTCTGCTTGCTGCTGTTCTCCATGGTAGACTGCTGAACATGAGTTCCTCACAAATCTTTATAAACAATGTGTAAGGTACCTTGTCAAAAAACTGCTTCGTATATTCAGGCAGCATTACGATCGCCTATGTGCTCTTTAAAATGAGCTATCTTGTGTGAATTCATACTAAAGATCCTGATATTGTAGTGGTGATACTCCTGTATTCACTTTCTTCTTTCACCAGTACTATGTTTTTTTTCATCCTTCCCCACCCTGTTTTATGGTTTCCATCGTGCATTCCACAGCACGTGAAAGGATAGAGATGATTCCATGTCAGTTGGACAGGGAAGACTGAGTTTGATTTACATTGCAGACATTTAAATTTTAAACTATATTTACTTGTTTTGGGCCATTAGGTAAAGTGACTCTTTATAGCCTGAGGCATTTGGGAAAACAAATTTGAGCTAACATGAGGTGTGATTTTTTTTTTATTTTTTATTTTTATTTTTTTTAAAGCAGACCTAAATTTCTGTAGGGACAGCCTGAGAACTGCAGTTATTCTGAAATAGATATTTCCCTCACATTTCACACCATTCCGTTCTCCAAATTGACTTTAGAGTGTAGAATATCATCAGCCGAGAAAGTTGAAGCATTCCCTGTTAGATTGTAACTTAACTTTTTAACTCCATTTTTTCAGGCCTGACTGAACTCAGTGACAGTCCAGTTTCCCTGGAGCTAGAGCGTTGCAAGTCTCCCACTTCAGGTAAAGGTGATGGCTTCTCTTCCTGCAGTCTGTATAAGCCACTCATGTCATACATCACTGTGTTTCATTAATCCCTAAGAAGTGAAGTGTATAGTCACAGTTCTGAAGAGAAGAATTTACTGGAAAAGTGCTTATTATATAGCACAATGAAACTCAAAGTCTGTTCATTTAAAGAAAAGTTATTTGTATGTGGTGCAACTTGAGGTGAAGAGTATGTAAACACTGGAATAGTCGACATTGCGCAGGTATATCCCATGTCTCAAATGGACTCAGCATTTTTGTTAGAGACTTGTTTCTGTTTTCCTAAAAGGCTTTGTCTTTTTTTTTTTTAATGGAGTCCCTATAATTTATATATATATATATATATATTGTCCATATATGCACATAGATAAGTTATTTGAAAAGTAGCAATATGGAGCTGATAAATTTTAACTATTAGAGCCTGCCAGCGCCTAAGTGCTGTAATTTACAATAGAAACATAACCTCAAATAAAAATATAAGTTTATCAACTGTTTTAACCCTGCAGTGAGATCCCAGCCATTCAAAAATTTATAAATGTTTCCCATCTTACCCGTAGTCCTTCAGAATATGGAGTTCAGCACATTCCTAGAGACTTTTTCTGCAAGTGCCTAGTCTGCATTGATCTCTTTAATGTGAGTTCACTGTCTTAAACTTCATTGCTTAGAGCCGTTTTAGGTAGTTGACTTCTAGGTGTGATAGAAAATAAGCAGGGGTAGCTGTGATGCAATCATTTTGTTTGTGGTATGCATATCACACTTCTTTACCTTGTAGTTTGGTAAGTATTGGTTAGATGTTTTTCCTTAGTTATGGTAACAAATTCCCACAAATATGCCATTCAAATCCTTTTTTATCACATATTTTACATTAACAGGACACTTTCACTTTGAATGTAGCCCAGTAATTAATAGCTGACAAAAATCTGAAAGTAGTGTTTCCATGATACATCAAGAACTAAAACAAAAATAGTTGTTCTGAAATAAAGACATATTCCCTTGTTGTAGTTTAAACCCAAATGTTGTAGACATGGAAATATTGAAGTTCTATAATAATATTGGTATAACACTAGGAGCTCAAACTCTTGAGCTTGGCTTCAGAAACTTGCCATAAGGGATTTAAAAAAAAAAAAAAAAAAAAAAGATAGACCAGTATAATTAGACCATTTATCACCCAGATCACTGCGATTCAGCTTTTTGATCTTCTCTCCAAAGACATGCCAAAAACTCTTTTTACTGAAAACTAAGAGATCACTGACTTGGTAAACATATGTGCATATGCTTAGTTTTAAAATTATGAGTGAACCTTATAGCATCTTACATTTTCTGCAGTTAAAATTGATGTTTTTGTTCTGCTATTGATCCAAAATACCTAATTTAGATACATTTCAGTTAATTTGTTCTGCAATTTCTTCTGCTTTTCTGTTTCTGAGAACATTCAGTGGGGAAACTGACAAATTTATGAATGTTTCCTATTTTAGCTTATCATGTTGTTTTCCAAGCCTTGAGTCTTTAAAATGTGAAATCAGGTGCAATTTGTAGGCAGTAAATGTTACAAAATTAACCGCTGTTTAAAATAGAAATTACTTTTACTGTGACTGATAGTTATTTATTTTTTAAATGAATGTGAAACTAAAAAAAAAAATTCTTGCTCTGGCATACCTACTATAAAACTAGTCAAAACTCAAAATAAACACCTGGAGTAGCTGACCTCAAAAGTGTGACCTCCAAGAACCTGTGAGTGAAATTACCTTATGCTTATCAGCACAGCCTCACAGCCACATCACTCTTTGCACTGATTAACATTTCTACCTCATATAATAAATCCATACAGTTACGGATTCACTTGACAGGGTCTTTTTACCTCTACTCTTGCCTTTGATCTCTTTAAAGATCATGGCACACAAGCTCCATAATGGAATTGTGCTGCACTCTGCAGAGTCCCATGATGTCTGTGTTTGTAAGATCAGCCACCATGCATGTTTATAAAAGATAGGCCAAGGCTTTATCCTTGATATTTAGAAGAAACAGAAGGAACAGTTGTGTGCTGAGTCAAATGATTCAAGTTGCTGCCCAATGAGGTTCTCGCCAGCTGACAGAGTTCCAATAACAAAAGGAATGCTTTGAGTAGTTTCATTTCTCTACAGTTACTATGAGGCTTTGTAAGTCCTCATAGTATAGATGGTAACCCAATGCTGGAGTTAATTACTATATAATGTATTACAAAACAGTACCCATTCCAGTAATATTTAGCTTTATTTTTATCATCCAATTAAGGAAATATTATTCATGGGCTTCTAGGAATATAGGTTTTCTGTGCCTTGTTTCTTTAACCATTTATATGCAGGTTCATATTGAAGCATGTAGTTGAAAACACACTGAGTAGTAGTAAATGTATCTCTGACAGGCCATTTCACTTCATTGTGTAAGATGCAATGGATTATTTAGACTTCTTTCAAAGACTAGAAGGAAATAATTTCATCAGTCCATGTACAGGAGAGTGACCTCTAAACTGTGTTTTAAAATGGAAGTTCTTTTGTGTTTATTCTTAAGAAATCACCTTCATGTTGGCAGCTCATATCCCAAATACATTTAAGACTATAGGTCTTAGAGAAAGCAGCGTAAAGACTTCCACAATTGATTTCCATGAGCTTTGGAACGGGTGCCTAATGGCAGGTATACTAGTTCTTATGACTTGTAAGTGCTACAGTCTTGATTTATTCCACTGGTTACATGAGCTGGGTTTCGGCCCATGCCATGTCAACCTCTCATTTTCCTAAATGAAATGTTTTTATATAGTTCAGTTTCAAGAAGATTTTGAAGTTTCTAACAGTAACTCTTTTCTACCACTCGGATAACTGCGAAGTAGCTGAAGAGATTTGACTCGGTTTGAGAATTACTTTCTTGTCTTCTGCAAGGATATGTATGTTTCAGAACTTTGTGTGTGTGAAAACAATGTAATTTATTTTGCAACTTGATTATTGATGACACCGCCAGCATAACGATTTCTACTTATTTACGTTAAATTAAAAAGAATGCTTATTAGTCAGAAAGCAAATTAAACATTAAAGAGATCCTAGAACACAAGATGCATTTTATCACTTTTCCAATATGTGAAGACGTTTCAGATCAGATAAATTAATGCTTGCTTAAGATCTTGAGAAAGGATGTGTTTGTCAGGAATTAGCAAGGAACAGGGAGCATTATGAGCTGGTGGAGGATAAGAAATTGAGAGCTGGGGCTGGGCCGTGGTGTGGGGCTCAAGGGGAGCAGCAGGGCAGCCCGCCCTGCAGCCTGGGGGTTTGAGGGGGCCTGAGCTCACTGTTGGGGAGTGGCAGGGGTCAGCAGCTCCCTATGGGCCACAGAGATAGGAGCTAAATGAGGGAGCAGGGCAGCTCTGGGAAGGGTGAGCAGGGCCAAATACAGCCCGGGATTGCCAGGAAGGTCCAGGTGAAGATGTCAGTCCATGAGTCAGGGTCCAAATCAGCAGGATAGTGGCCAGATACGGGTATGGCTGATGTGGTAGGAGCTGTAGCTCAGCAAGAGTTAGGCTCAGCCAGAAAGCAGCTCCCTGGAAAAGCACAGCACTGTCTGAGGGTGCTTCACCTGAGCCCACCAAAGGAAAGGGGCAGTCCCAAGTTGGCTCTTAGCCCCAGAAGCCAAACATCCATGATCTGTGTATGTTATCTGAATGGGTATCTAAATAGTGGGTATCTCTTAAATCCGTGTTTTAGCAGTGAAGGACAGGGACAGATATTCCAAAGCATTTTGGAGCCAAAAGCTGAGTAACAGAAAGGAGCTCTATAAAATCACCTTCATTTTGAATAATCTTTTCTCTGACTACACTCATGCTGGGGGAGACACACCACCAAATGTCATAGCTTCAAGAGCATGCTTGTTCGGGTTGGTTGTGCCTTGGTGTTTTCATTGAAAGACTGATAGGAACCATATGGCTACAAGGTGGGATGTATTCTGGCCAGGGTGCTGGGTCCTCAGTTTAGCTAGCTGCCAGATCTTACCTATTAACTCTGTGCCTCTTTCTCATCCTGTTTTTAGATATTTTTAAACAGCCAAACTTAGGCTTTTGAGCAGGGACTTTCCTGACATGTGTCTTACCTTGCACTGTGGTACTACAATTTTTGCTGGCTGCCTCCGGTATGAATGCAACGAAGTAAAGGTAACAAAGAGCTCTGCTAGCCTCTTGAGCTAGCAAAAGGCTGGCTTCTCTACTTCGTTCGTAAATTAGAAGAGTTTTCAAAAGCTCATTCTCAGCAAGCTGCATGGTCATAATGGTCATACTATTCATGATCCTCCTTTATTTTGAATGTAGAGATGATAAAATATACATACTTTAGGAATTAAAAATTGGATGCATATTAATATCTCCATTCTGATCAATTTATTATTAAAACATTAGTTTTATTCCCCCCCCCAAAAAAAAAAAAAGATAAAAGATAAAAGATAAAAGATAAAAGGCAGTATTATGCACAGGGTTTTTTTGTTTGGTTTGGTTTTTGTTTGTTTGTTTGTTTGTTTTCTTCAGTAAAGCACAAAAACAATCAACTCCATCTTTTGTCTTTACTCTCAGAGGTCTGGTTTGCTGACAGTGGTCCACAGTGTGTCTTAGCACAGTCATGTCCTACACCAAAAGATTCCATATTTGTTGGTGGAAATGGTGGTAGGAGTAACTTCTGGATTCCCCAACTACACTTACTTCATTTCCAAATTCTGTGTGTCTCCTTTCTACTTTTGCCCCCTACTCACCATGTTCTCTACTATATAGGACCAGCAAGCCCATGCCTCTGTTTTTCCTATTTTTTCCCAATATTGGGATGCCTGCAATGTCCTTGTACCCATAGTCCAACTCGTCAGATCTTTACTCCCTTTCTTTCCCAGCTTCAGTCCCTTGAGCATCCTGAGCCTGTTAGACTGCAGCATTCAGTATGGTATGCCTATTTTATCTGCAAGCAGCTGCAGAAGCTCTC